ATCGCAGTCGGCAGGAAAATACCCCCCTTTCCCCTGCATAAGTACACTTCCAAATACTGTACACTGAATATCTTATCGCTGTCAACTCTAATTTTGTTGTTTTTTATTCCCTGTTCAGCTGAGGGATGGTGAAAGTTTGTCCTCTATATTGCTCTTACTCCTGCTCCTCAGGAATCAGCACCCTGCTGCTTCTACCATCTAATCAAGTACTAATTTGCATCCAAAGCGGTGAATGCAGTTCACTGTCGGATAGGAAAGAAACCCAGCAGCACTCTGTTAAGCTGCTGACATGAAAAAAAACCCACAGTTTTATAGATTGGGACAGTTCCAACACCTTCACGTTAAGTATCCTTCTTCAAAACCTACACAAGACCCTCAAGGGACATAACACAACCTTTGTAGAGCGTACTGAGGGCCCTCAAACCAACTGTAAATAGCTGATTGCATTTCTGAATGTATAACTGAAATGTCACAATAACTTAAAATACATGGTCAACTTCTCTGCTGTTTGTTTGTGGAGCCCAGAGTTTCCCCTAAAACCTTTACAGCAGCAGTGATTAGGATTTTATGTGAAATTTTTTAAATATGTAATTTGACATCATTTTGGACCATTATTATTGGCATATTCAAAAGTTGGAAAAGCTAGAGCAGCTAATCAAAAAATACTCACAGAGCCTACAAAGTGTAACACACACCCATCAATATTGCTAGCTCCCTCCCTCTCAACAAATTTAAAAAATGCATCAGAGACCTGCAAAGGACGGTGACATGGTCTCGACACCATCCAGAGTGATTGACAGACTGACCACAACAGTGTAGCAGGAACTGCGAACTGGTAGTAAGAGCTAACCAGCCAAGAGCAGCTGCTGTCAGAGTCTCTGTGCTGGAAACACAGACAGTCCACTGGAGCTTTTACAGTCACTCGAAGCATATTCCGTGTGGTACATGTGTTATAGCTAAGCCAATGGCTCAGAGCGGCTAACACTGATATGTGTGTTTGTCTGTGGGGGGACTATCATTCCGGTACAGCCATCTAAACACAACCATTGAAATTTGAAAATAAGCTCATCAGTTTCACGGACTCCCACTCAAAGTGGAGGGTGGGAGATGTAGGCTGCCCTCCTCTGATAGTGTTAGCACGCTTTTTTATATAAATGTCATGAGGTAATGTAGTTCCAAATGGTCGACTCTGTGTCAGCAGGGGGCATGTTGAGCCATTTTCAACCCCCGAAATGTCCATTTTAATACATTTGGTAAAAATGTCAATATAACACCAGCATTGATGTGTTTCATCACAGTACAATCATATAATTTAGTTTACAGCTGAAACATGTTTTAGGATGGAGTACCTCTTTAATCTGTGTTTTCATCAGATAATGATAAAATTCAATTTTATGGGAAATAAGTTTGAAGTGACATAAATCAAGGAATCAAGGAAGCTTATTTATTTATCATTATACAACACAAGGTTGTGTAACGAAATGAAATTTTGCTGCTCCTTCATATAAGCACTTAGATAATCAAAATCAAAGAATAAAAATATCAAATAAATCAATATATGGGTCCTCCCATCGAGTGCTTGATCTGGGATGTTGATGGAGCAGGTCTCTGTAAAGATGTGGGCATAACAGTCTCTGATTTCCCATTGTTTGGCCAGCCTGAGTCCCATTTTGTCCATACCGGACAATACTCCAAGCTGGGCCAGCATGGCTCCTACCAGGGTCATACAGAACCCACTGTGTTGGAGCTGGTCCGGTCCAGGCGACCTGGCTGGGTGGATCGTCCTTAAGGTCCGCTTCTCTTTAATCCAAACCCTTTTCCTTTTCCCATAACCTTTTCTGTATTAGTTAATATGTGTTTCAGATATAAAGGCGAAAACAGATTAAAACAAACGCAGAGAGGTTTGAAGGAGCTAGACCTTCGGTAGCAGCATCTTAACATGCAGCCGTTGTCAGTCGTCAAAATCTCCTGAATCCCGTCGATTTGAACAATTTTGGCCTAGTCCTTAAAATCCCCCCCCGAAAACCCCATCAGACATCATTCAATGTTGTTTTGTGAAAAAAGATTACAACTGTTGCCATGGTGATACATGGTGCCAATGGATCAAGGGTGATGGAATCCTCATTTTGTCAAAGTTCTGATGACATCAGAAAGGAATGACTTCACCCATATAGGTTACTCTGCTTCTGGGATTATATCCAGATTATATCCAAATAAAACTCTTCAGTGACGGCACATTTTCCAAGAAGAGACATATTTCAAAAATACTTGTCTTTCTTTAAACTACCACAAGTTCGTAACTGCTCTGTAGATTTACAGACCAGCTCCCCTGTATTCAGTGTACACACCTACTTCACGCACAATTTGCCTTTGTGACTTTCCCTGAAAATGAACGGTCAAGGGGACGGACATGTAGTGACGCATATCATCATTATCTTCTTTGGTCAACCAGTATTGGAGGTCGTTGGACCAGTGGCCATGAACTTCCCACAGGGGCACGATATTGCTGCCATTGAGGGGCCGGGTGAACTTGACCCCAACATTAATGTTGATAACAACATGAATAATCCTAATATGGAGGATGTTCACCCAGATGCTGGCACTGATATGGAAATCAACCAGCAGACTGAAGAAGAAGACCCACTGCTTGGAGTATCAAGATGGCGATCTCGAGAGGAGGATGATGAGGATGAGGATGAGGAGAGAAGCTGCAAAAGGTTAAGGTGGTGGGATGAGTTCGCAGATAGCGACTCAGACAGCTGCTGTGATGACGCTATCGATAGCCTTAGCCTCATAGGTATGGACAGTGATGCGAATGCTTCAGGGGAAGAGGAGGACCCACTTCCTGGAGTAACCAGAAAGAGGAAAAGAGATGGCAAAGATAAGGATGAAAGAAGCAGCAAAAAATCCAGACAGTAACAGCAACACTCCTTAGCCTTCTCTACGACATTGACGTAACATCGACCTGGCACCCAATATGACATGATCAGCTTCACCCCAGCCTGTTCTGTATCTGCTCTATATAAATCAGATCAGGTGTAAAGCACAGTAGGGGTTTTTGCAGACAAAGGGAATGACAACAATCATCACAACCAACATTACTCCACTGTCTATGTGGATCCTCGACTTCCTGACGAGCAAACCAACAGACACAACTCTTCTATCCTCCTCTTTCTACTCCTGCACCATCAAGAGTGACCTGATCAGAAACATTACCTGAGCAACTGATTACATAACACATTACATTACATTTACACTGTTATTGTGCCTTAAATAATTACATGTGACATATAATAAACTTGAGAGGGTTTTTCTTTGTTCTCTAATGTGGGCACTAAAATAAAGTGAATAAATAAAGTAATATAAAACTTAATATGACATTTAAGTCATTGCCTTTGTTCTAAGAAACCAGAATAGTGTCAAAAACTAGAAAAACTAGGGGTTAAATTAGTAACACAATATGATATGGACCAAATTATAAGATAGTGGGTTTTCCATTGTAGCAAGTAACTAACTATTCATTAAGAAAGTGGCCATTATGCAAATTCACAGATATTATCACTGTGGTTCATTAACTCACTGCTTCATCAGCATTAGTGAGTGAGTGAGTGAGTGAGTGAGTGAGTGAGTGAGTTTTGTTCCTGACTTGTATTTTGGTTGGATTCAGGATCTTGTGTACAGTGTTACCACTTAAACATTAGAGATATTTTTTTCTTGCAAAATAAGATGATGTTATTGTGATTTTTATTATGCATGTATGCTACCTAATATAAGATCAGACATCTGGGACATTTGGGATAAAAATACCTTTCACATAACGTTAGATGTCCTTTGAAGAATGAGGAGATAGGGAGTTAGTCAACCATAGGATGTTATTGTGCTTGCACAGTGTGCGAGTGAATATTATTAGTAGCCTATTGATATTGGTTGTGGTGCGTTTTAGGGGGAGTGCTCATCATTTTGGAGCAGCGGTGAATATAAAGGAAACACTGGGAGCTTCATAATATTTCCACCTAACTACTTTGATCTGCTCACTGATGACTGACAGATTTTGGATGGTACTGAGTAAAACCCCAGCTTTTTATGCCTTGCCTATTTTCATAATGCACATAAAACAAAAAACAAACAAACTATATAAATATATATATAAAAGATATATTCAATACATAGTTGCATGTTTGATGTTTTACTTTGGCAGTAGCAGTGTTTTCTAAGTTGGCAATACAAGAGATGAGAAATGAAAACTCCTTCCTCAAGAAGAGAGAAGTATTGCTCAAATATATTGTGTGTGGGTAATAAAACATGTTTTTCCATACTGTATGATACATATTCAGTACCCCCCTTGTGCGTCATTTAACTTTAGTATGTCATGCTTATAGCCTAATGAGTAAAATATTAAAATCATGACAATATTTTTTCTCAAACATAATTTAAATTCTGTGTGTAAACCTCAGGATCTTGACTGGAATTTAAAGTAAAGCTCTGTGGGTTGGAACAATGCTTTGTTGCACAGCATGTGTTTGTTTTGATGGACTTGCCAGTGAGCTCAGCGAGGTCAGAGCTTATGAAAATTAATTGCCTGAAGCCTCTGTGGAACAAGCACTAAAATGGCAAATCTGTCCAGATACTGAAGGGAAAATCTGTCTTTTTTTGGACTGGCTGGAAATCCTTATCTTTATTCTAATAAATTGCATGTGTATTATGTGTACAGTATAACATATGACTGTGGAAATAATTCATTATTATTTGTGGGCTTTTTGTTAAAATAATACACGACGCAACTGTCAACCAGCTTTTCCTTGTAAAGGGGACTTTTATTAGGAATATGAGTTGTGTTTTTATATCCTATACTCCTGTTGGTTTAATTAGTTTGATCACTGATCACTACAGAGGCAGAGATTTTAGATTTTCCATTATCATTGTGATTTAATGTGACCGTTGTTGTTATACTGACTAAGGTTCACCTGAAATAATGCATTCTTTATATTTTTAACTCCCAGGTGATCGATGTGAGTTTGACCGGCGGCAGGGCAGGTGTGTGCCAGGTGTGTGTCGTAATGGAGGGACGTGTCGGGAGCTTTCAGGTGGAGGTTTCCGCTGCGAGTGTCCTGCGGGAGGCTATGAGCGTCCATACTGCACAGTCACTGCCCGGTCTTTCCCACCAAAGTCCTTTGTCATGTTCCGGGGCCTCAGACAAAGATTTCACTTGTCCATCTCATTAACGTGAGTAGATTGAGTAACCTGAAAGTTTTATCTTTTCTTTCCCTTGTCTAAATTTCTGTATTTGACAATTTAGATGTCATTTTTTTGTTTTGATTTTCTTTTTCTTTCTTCCTTCCCTCTTTTCTTTCTTTGAGCCTCCATCTCTCATCATCCAGTTGCACTCAGACAGAGATCCATAACCACACCTCTTTGATTCTCAGTTCCCTTCCTCTTACGGAGTATCTCTCTCCTCTTTGCTTTAATCTATTTATTTCATCTCTGTCTCAGAGATCGATCCTATTATAAATGGTTTCACTCTCTGCTGCCTCCACTTCTCTCTCCAGCGAGAAGTGTGGTTTTTCCTCTCTTCTTTCATCTGTTAATTTACTGGTTTCAGTAACATCTCCTTTGCTTTCTCTCTCTCCACTCTCTCTTCTTATCTTACATCCTATCACAGTATTATCCTCTTTTAGTCTTGCATGTTTCAGCAAAGGCTTTAAAGGCAAATCCTGCATTTCTCTTGGTCCTATGCTCTGTCTCGTCCCTTGTACTCAGTCAGAACTGAGTAAAAGAAAAGTAATCCCCCCAGTTACCAGTCCACTGTTTTTTACCAGTTTATCAATCAAATTTGAGTAAAAGCTAAAATGTCCAAAATTCACTGCATTTTCTTGGTGCACTACCTTGCCACAGCCTCTAGGCTTGTTTTGTTTACATATAGTGTTTACATCTTGGCATAATGTAACAGCGTGTTACTGCCAAGGTCAGTGATCGTCTCCTTACTTTAGGTCCTTTGTCTTTGTCTTGCTCACCCACCACCATCGTTTCCCTGCTGCTCCTTCGCCTCTTGACATACCGAGTGGTCGTCTATGGGAGATCTGAAGTGGTCCTTAAGAGTGGTCAGGCGGGGGTATGGGATGGTTGCCATGGGAGATGTCTTCTTATGATAGTTGCTAAGGTGACGTTGCCCATGGGGTTGTTGCTAGGCTGATATGGCATGGGGTGGTTGCTATGAGACACTGAGGTCATGGTATTCTTGCCAAATGAACCTCAGTGCATTGTCAGTGTGTAAAGGCACCACATGTGATTGGTTTCATTGATTTGTGACCACCAGGTCGGTGATTATAAGTCAAGGAATGCGTGATGTAACTGTTTCTTTGTTGAAAAGCAGCTCACTTTAAAAACATTTAAAAGGTTTTGTGGTAGAATTTCTCCAATGTGGGAAAACGTTGGCAGCAGTGATGGTAGTTGATAGTTAAGATTCCCAAACTAGTTGGGGAAATCTGGGCAAGGAAAGTAAAGCAATGTTCTTTCCCAACGACAATCAACCTTGGGAAAGTCAGAACAATACTGTATGATCTTTTTCAGTACTGCCCTGCTCACCATTCAGTTGAACACATTGACATCTGGGAGCTTCATCCTTGCTCAACAGGATCAACTCTCTAGGGCACCAAGACTGAAAGTGAAGATTTCCCCACACTTAGATCCATGCAATATATAACTTTATTTAGCAAGCTTCAAGTCCAAATGTAAACCCACCTTGTTGTAGTAGTGGATGTGAACTGTATGCCAGTTGCCAGTGTCCTGTTTGCTGCCAGCTACATCCCTTGTCCAGATTTTCACATCAGGGCCAAACAGGACTTCATCATTATTCATGTCACTCACTTTCTCCCAGAGCATTTTATTTCTCCACTGCAAAAGATTTTCCAGTTTCATCTATCACCCAAAAGCTGCAGGCTGATTCAGAAGTTTTTGTAGCTGTAGCCTGAGAACTGAGAAATATGAGTAATATATATAAACTGTATATCCTTACTGCAGAATTTTGATAAGAGAAAAAGTCACCTTATATTAAATGTTTTTTTTTTGACGCAGTTCATCTGTCTCAACTAATAAATATCACAAACAACAAGTGCACTAACCATAACAGACATATTGAACATATGCTTCTTTGCCTTTATTTACACTTTTAGCCTCTCTGTGCCTTTGCTTCACAAAAGCTCAGGTTGCACTATTTCTGGTGGCTTGAAGAGATTACAGCTACATATTACAAGCATGCTGGGTGCAGTGGGAACTACAGCAGGGCCATGCAAGAAAGACACATGTCTGATATTGAATAACCCTGGGCTTATTTTAGACAATGGCAACATTCTCAGATAACAGGGGTATATAATTGTCCTGATGGAAATGGTGGTAGCATACTCTTCACCACAGTACATTTCCTAACACTGCTGTATTGCAGTAACGCATCTGTTGTTACAGCCATATTGATCCCTGGTGGATGCTTAAAGCAAGGATGTAAAATGCCAACACTAAATAAGAATGAGCAGGAATATTGTCCTTACGTTTGAGCCACCAGTTCATAAAGCAACAATCAAGACATTTAGTTTCAAAACATTTTAAGATGCAGAAAATTTTTTAAAGCGGATATTTATTTTGGTGGGAATCAGCGTCTTGTTGCCAGGAGAAAAGATTTGTCATCTGTGCTGTAATATCAAAAAACTAACAGTGCTTTTGATCAGAATGTGTAAACATGGCAACCTTGGCCTAAGCACATCCCCCGGGCCTTGCTTTGGAAAATAGACTATTGAATGACTCTGAGCAGCTGGAGGGTGTGGAAGGTTGCAGCAATATGGTTTCTGAACTGTGCTGCTGTTTGAATATCTTTTGTTCTTCCACACTATGCCTGTATGAAGAGGCTTGTAGGAGCTTTGTTTTGCCATGTGAAATCAGTTATTGTACGGCTCACTGTGTCAGGGTCAAATGTTACATTAACCAAACCAGAGCTAACAATCGCTTTTGAAAATGCACGAATGTGTTATACAGTTTCATTTTATTTGTAATGTATATTTTCAGGATACAACAATGTAAAGATGTACAGTTGATATATACTCACAATGCATATGTTATAGTTATCGATAAACTTGTTATGGACATGTGTTTCTCTGTGTGTGCATATTGTAGTTTTGCCACCCTGGAGAATACTGGTCTTCTTTTCTATAATGGACGCTTCAATGAGAAACATGACTTCATCGCCTTGGAGATCCAAGAAGGACAAGTGGTGCTCAAATATTCCACAGGTACTATATCTATATCTATATGTGTAATTGTGTGTGGTTGTATTTATTTAATTCAAAAGATAATATATAGGTTTTGTTCTCAAAGGTTGTGTGTCCTTCCTTTATGGTGTATTATTAAACGGCAGATACACAGTACTTCAGCTTAAGTGCCATCCTGTTGTACTGCTCCCCCTGCTTCTTCGCTATGCTGACCGTATCCAACACAAACAAACAGTATCAGACATACTGCCTCCAAAATCAGTAGTTACTACACGTGACCTCTCGGACCCCTAACAGCAGCCTGCTTATGTTTTACTGTCTACCTACAGGTGAATCGTCCACTCAGGTGAGTCCCTTCCTGCCTGGCGGTGTGAGCGATGGCAACTGGCATACAGTTCACATCCACTACTACAACAAGGTGAGTTTATTTTTGATTTTTGATCTCACTTTTGATCTTCCATTTTGTGTCTCACATCTCAGTTTGAAAAGTTATCCTTTGAAGTTTTACATTTTACTTGTGATTACTTGTACTGTACTTCTGATGTGTTGGCAGAAAAGTTTCTCTCTCACAAAGCACTTTGAATTGAGCTGAAGGGTTTGTGTGTATACTGTAACGTGGGCGTTTGCCTGTCACCATTTCACTCATGCATATACGCCACACATCTCTTTTAATTTTCTTCATCTTCTTTCATTTTCCTCAGCCAGCTACACGCTATGTGAGTATGAGTGTGTGTCAGGGTGCACATACACCTTCTTCTTTCTTTGTTTTGTTCTTCTTTCTTTTTCTCTTTCTGTCTTTGTTTATTTCACCAGCAAACAGTAAATGAAGAGTGAATGTGTTGTCTATCAGCATTTACTCCATTATTTTCCTACCCATATTTGTGTTGTGTCTTGTCTTACTAACTCAAATTTCCCCCTTCTCTTTCTAACATGATGTGCAGTAGCAGTGTAGATACTGAATATAGTCTGATGTGTTGTGTGGTGTCGCTTTTGACTGCACAAACTCTAGATTTATTAAATGCTATTCTATTTTCTGCATGTTGTCTGGTGTCATGGTGTTTCTTGGTTTTTGTTTCTTTGGACTGTATATTCAATCTTGTTTTTGTGTGTATGTGTGTTCAGCCGAAGCGCAGTATGAGTGGCGAGGCCCAGGGTCCGTCAGATGAGAAGATTGCTGTGGTGAGCGTTGACGACTGTGATACAGCCTTGTCGCTTCGCTTCGGTACGCAGCTTGGAAATTACAGCTGTGCTGCGCAAGGCAAACAGACCAGCAACAAGAAGTGAGTTGATCTTTCTTTCAGCTGTTCATCTTTTTTGCTGTTGATTTTTGGGTCTTGAGGGCTCCACACATCTGAAAATTACACCAACAAATAATCTATATAATAATACGATTACAGTTGCTGTCAGAGGACGGTTGGCCACTAATCTTGAAAATGTCAAACGTCAAATATGAAGTGTAGTAAGAACACACTGTCTATCAAGGGTCTAACAAACAAAACTACATCACAACATTACAACATATTAAAACAACCATAGGCTCTACTGAATGTGAATGAAAGGAAAATATAATTTGTTCAGACATCAGTGAGTTGGTTATAAAACAAGAAACCTTCCTTTGCTTTAATATAGTTAATGCTTACCAGGCTACACATGGTTTTAACTGCAAAATATCTTTTGCTGCCGACCACTTTTACCTTTCATGGTCACAGAAGTTGCAAGCAGGTGTTGGTAGTTTAAGACAGAATATTCATATCCTATTATTTTGTAAAAATTATGCGTACATGATTACTATCATAACATTGATTGAATTGAAGATCACCAAAGGCAGTGTTATACTGTAATACATAGAGACTGGCACCCTGTAAGACACCTTGTGTGTCCTAGCACGGTTTCATATGGAAGTCATCATGGAATTAACTAACCATGACTCAAAAAAGCTTGTGAAGTAAACACATGTACTCAGCTAAATTCTGTAAAAAAAAAAGTAAATCTCTCTCTATCTCCAGTGCAGCAACAGAAAGACTCTGAATAGTCATTGACCCTGAGCTGTGGGTGGTGTTTACACAGAATGTGCTAAATTCTTTGCAAACACAACTTTCATTAAGCATCATCTCTGACTGATTGGAGGCAGATATTCAAAGATAATTTTCACTAAGTAGAACACAATAAAGCCGGTCAGTGTGTGGAACAGCACATTGTTCATCAGTGATCAGATCAGCTTCACAGATTCACAATTTCACAATTTCAGCATGGTTCAAACAGGCTTGTAAGCTAATCAGTGATTTAAAATGAAAAGTAATGCTGATTTAAGAACAAATCTCTTCTGTTAATCTGTTAAACTCCTGCAAAAACTTTGACTGTTGCTGTTAAAAATGATTTTTGGGGAATGTCAGATCGGTGTGATGAGGGGGGCTGTAGGAGAAATCTATGGGGACCTGAAGCTTTAATGAGGCACGGCTGTTTGACGTGTCTGTCTGTATCTCTCTGATGGTCTTGTTACTCATCGGCTCATCCAGCTGGGTGTTAATGTTCATTTCTTCTCCTCACTCACCTCTCTCTCTCTCTCTCTCTCTCTCTCTCTCTCTCTCTCTCTCTCTCTCTTTCTGTTTGCCTCTGTCTCTCTCCCACTCATTCTCTTTTGTGTGACTCTTCTAAGTTCTATTTGACCTTGTCAAAGTTTTAAGGTTTTCAGCTTGTGGTGTGTGTCTACCAAGCTAAATGTCTGCATGTATGCCAACAAGTGCATAACACACACAGATACAAAAAGCCGCCTGTCATAGTGTTGATGTCTGGCCTCGCCTCTGTAAGCTGTAATCACGTTGGCTGTGTTCTGTCAGCGTTAAGTGTGTGAGAAGAGAAGACAGATCAAAGAGGAAGGCCAAAGACTAACGCTTCAACACTCATCTTCCGTTCCTTCTCCATTAACAGCTCGCCCTCCTCTTACTCCGTCTTGACATCCTCCTCTAATGACGCTCTCTGTTGATGTTCGCTGTAACACACACTTAATCTCTTGTTTGTTCGACTCCGGCGCCTTTTGTCTCCTCGCCTTCCCTCGATTCATATTCCACTGGCGTCTATAAGCTCGGCACGTGACATGCATCGCAAAAACGAGCTAAAAAAGAAAAACCCCAACTCTCATTGGAGGAAAAGAAAGATAATACTCTCAAAATGACAACACAACTGTTTCTGTCACTTAGTTTTTTCTAGTAGTCCCATAACTGTTATTTGCTGTCCCCTACGTCGTCCTCCTCACGTTCCCTGTTTTCTTTCCCTCCACCAGTCTTCCATCTGTCTTGTCATTCGCCTTTATTCTCGCTCTCTCTCGATATTTGCTGTAACTCACACTTAATCTCTTGTTTGTTCATCTGCCTCCCCGGCTGCCTCCACAGCTCCCTTTTTTCGTTGCTGTTTTTCGTCTCCTTTTTATGCCTGCGACTCTGATATTTGTTGGAATCCCCTAACATCTACCTCCTCTCCTTTGATTGCTCATGTCTCCTTTCTCCCTCTACCTTGTCATCTACCTTCACCTCTTCTCTTCTGATATTCGCTGTAACTCGTATGTAATCTCCTCTTTGTCTGTCTCCTTTTCCTTTCTAATCTTTTCAATTTCTCTCTTCGCCCCTGCTGTTTCTACTTTTACCCTCAACAACATCATCATGATCATCTCATTTCTTCTTAACATCCACTGTTGTTCTCTGATTCTTGTTCCTTTTGACATATACGTCTGATGACACATTTAATCTCTGGGTTTGTTTAATCCCCTTGCCGCTCTCATACCCTCTTTTTTAATATTTTCCCTTTCTTACTTTGTCTTCCTTCATCCCTCTCTTCTCTCCTGCCCTTCATCCTTGAGGGATAATCTTTCATTCCTCTTTTATCCCCCTTTCCTCTCCACCTTATTTATTCCTCTTCCTGTTTATCTCCCCCTCTCTCAGGTCTCTGGACCTGACTGGTCCATTGTTTCTGGGCGGAGTTCCCAACGTACCAGACAACTTCCCGTTTGGCACCAGGGAGTTTATTGGCTGCATGAAGGAGCTGCATATTGACAACAAGCCGCTTGACTTGGCTGGATTTATTGCTAACAATGGAACGCTTGCCGGTCAGCACTGCTTACCATACAACTACTACTACTACTGCATACTGCTAAACTGGATTGTTTTTTTATGACTGTGATATGAAATTAAAGGATGTAGTAAGTAATTTGTGACAAAATTGTTTCTACAGACTATTAGTTACCACAGTAGTGTAATTGTGTTGTTTTGTAATGAGATTCCTAGAAATGATTTCACAAGATGTTTGAAAAAAATAAGCATCATTATCCCATCAGTGTTAATTGTTATGCACTCACAAACTAATTTGAGCTAAATTGATCAAGTTGAGGTACTTTTGAAACATTTAAAATGCAAACAATCAAAGTTGTGTTTATAGACAAGAAAATGTGAGATGTTAACATCATGATTTATCAGCTTAACACTGCAATTCGTTTCATGCATCATGGTGATACATTTTTGGGGAATGATTTAACTGTTGCTCCTTTTAGGCTGCAGTGCCAAGCTCCCCTTCTGTAAGTCCAACCCGTGTCAGAACGGAGGAACCTGCAGGGTGAGCTGGGAGACTTTCTCCTGTGACTGTCCTCTAGGGTACGGAGGGAAGGACTGCAGCCACGGTGAGAGTCTATATGAGTTTATTTTCATCTTGTGGTCCTACATGTTGCTTTTATAACATTCATCAACCTTTAACAATGTCACATTTATTGTGCCATTTTGATGTAATTATCATAACCAATTATACCATGGCTGAGATATTTGTCAGTTTCTGTCTCAGGCTAGTGCTGATGAGAGATGTTTTTAAAAATGCAGCAAAATGACTCTTCAGTGGTCTTATTTGAAAGCATTTATTATACTAATAACTCAGTAATTAATTAATTATTGACTTATTGAACTGATTGAAGTTAAAATGCTTCAGGTAACACATTTAAACTAGTTCTATGTTGTTTACATGTTGGTTAAATGAACAGTAGCTGCTTTAATTGGCTGTTTCACACCTAAATACTTCAGTAGTTCAGATTCAGAAGGGCTGTCATTCATTCATTCAGATTAATGCCTCATTCTGCAAGGCAGCATTATTTCTCTGTTCTACTTAGTCTTCATTTTGTGCTGAGCCATCACAGATGTAGGCTTTTGGTGTGTGAGTAAAGTGAGAGTATTAGTGGAATGCATTTTCATGGATGGATAGATGGATGGATGGGTGGGCGGATTAATGGTTGAGTGAGTGAGTGTGGACCTCTGTGAGGGTATTGACTGAAGGAAAAAGAGCAAATGGATCATTCACTTGAATTTGGACACACACTGAGAATGAGAAAGAGGTACATAACTCAGAGAATAGTTTTTATACTAAGCATGTGAACAAGTGGTTGCACAGTGGATGTCTGGCTTTATTTCTTGTTTTTAATTGGACTTAGATAAACCCTGTGTGATCCCACACACAAAAGTGGACCTTCTGTAGCCCAGATGGACTCAAGATGACAGTTTAAGTCATTTATATTTACTGACATGTCTTGATTGTGAGCACAGACCTTTAAATCTTGGGGGAAATCATACAGCAAAAGGCACTTGGGGATGAAATGAAGTTGTGTTTTTTTTTTCAACAGAAAAAAAAAACGTTCACAGGTTATTTTGTACGTGTACACCATTTGATGCAACATAAGTCATGTTTTACCTTTTAATCCCTTCTTTAAACAATAATTTATTGGCCTTTGTTTGATAGTCGCTAGTACAGAGAAAACAGGAAATGGTGGGAGAGAGAGATTGGGAATGACATGCAATAAACACGGACACAAACCAGGGATGTTGTGTGTCATGGTTGACATCTTAACCACCTCAGCTAGCAAACCACTAATTATTTCGTGTTTTTTACAAAAAAAAAACGGATTCAGTTTCAGAACAGTGACATCCAGAGACTGTTCGGGATATTGCAGTACCTTTCATTCATTGTATTCTTCTCACCTCAGTGATGCCACACCCCCATCGCTTCCTGGGTAACAGCGCCCTCTGGTGGGACCTAAAGAACGACGTGACCATCTCCACGCCCTGGTACCTCGGCCTGGTGTTCAGGACCAGAGCGCAAGAGGGGACGTTACTGCAGGCTCAGGCTGGCCAGTACACCAGTCTGCTGTTCCAGGTGCGCCCACACACACACAGACACACACACTAACATCGTCACCCAAAGTTGTTAATGTCTGTATTACACTGCATTTGAACATTGTATAGATGTATATTTCTGAAAAATTAATTACAATAGTTTTATATTATCAAATTAGACATGGTTGAGATAACTGTGGACTTTTAAATCACACCAGGGACAATGGTGTTAAAACAAGACCACATTTCCCATAATCCTAATGATTCCTGTTTTCAGTGCCTCTCTCTCCCTCTCTGACTAGTGGTTTTTCTTTTTGGCTGAAGAGGAGAAACATAGCATATGCTCTTCTGTATTTCCTTTTACCTGTCTTTCATCATTGCCAGAAGCTCAGAAAGCTTTAGTTGGGTTTATACTAAAACATAAATGGCGACACCTTCTTCCTGTTTTGTAACATAAACAATTTGTGCTTTAAATCAATGCTGCACATTGTAAGCCAAATCTCACCAGGTGTTAAGTGTAAAACGCTGTGTGGGCTGCTAAATGTGTTCGCAGCGTTCACGTTGATTATGGGAATTAGACTTATGTCTCATGGTTAATGTGGTTCTATTTAATATTTTAATACTACATTATCATCTTCTGTACAAGACAAAAATGCCAAATTATCTTTAAAATTATTTACAGTTTACATCTCTAATGCTACATCCAAAGACGGAATTGAATTAGCAGCATCTTGGCAGGAGTGCAGCCAAGATGTTGGATTTAACACTCCCACACACACGCACACACACTCACTTCTTAGTCTCCTCTTTCCTACCAAGCAGGTTATTTTATTCTTTCGCTGTTTTCAGTGACTCATGTTACTTCACATTCCCTCTTCTGTTTTTCTCTCTTTTTTCCTGGTATTTTCCTGTGTCCCTCTCAGGTGATAAATGGTCAGCTGGTGTTCTCTGTGACCCGCGGTTCGACCAGAGCGGTGCGTTTGCGGTTGGATCAGGTGCAGGTGGCAGACGGCCAGTGGCACGACCTCCAACTGGAGCTGCGAGACGTTCGCAGTGGCCGCGAGACACGCTATGTTGCCACACTACGACTTGACTTTGGACTCTATCAGGTAATAGATGTGATATAAGCCTTGAAAATAAATGTTTTTATGACCGACTTAATGTTCCAGCGGGACACAACTTTATAAGCAGAGTGATAAAAATGATAAAAATTGAATTTATGGAAGGACAGCAAATTCATAATTGTGTAAATACAGTAATTTGAAGTCTGATTTGACCTGCAAGCACAGATTTCTGTATGCTTCTTGTAAATCAATAAGATCAATTTCCCTTAAAAATTAATTTCCTGTTCAATTGGCAATAGACATTTTTTTCTCCAGATGTGATTCTTAGATTTGATTTAATTTGGTTGTTTGAAATCAGCAGATACTCTTAATGGACAACATTTTTCAGTCTAATCAGTGGAGAACTCTAATTGTAATTTTAAAGCATTTAATATGAATGAAGGCAAGAAATCCTTTTTAATATCCTCAAATCTAAAATTTACCTCATTTCCTTCTATGAGACAGCACGGGGAACAGAACACTGGAAAAGATATCAGCAAATTAGCAAATTATTTACATATAATCTCACTTTCAATCTTAAAATCATAGTTGTGTCAATCAAAGCAGGAAACAGTCTTTACATGGCAAATATTCCTCAGAATGGTTTGAGAAATGTTCCCTTAAGTCGTGTCTTATATTTTGAAACAATATAAGGCAGATGACTGATTAATTAATGACAAATTAATCCAGATTTAAGAAAAATTTTGAAACAAGAACATTTTAAAATTAGGGACATTTTCATAGCTTTATCATCTGCTCTTTTCCCATTTCATAGTCCTTGACTGTGTTATCCTGTAAACTTTTCCCTTTTCTATACCAAGACAATTACCATGTCACCCACTATACACAGACACACACACACACACACACACACACACACACACACACACACACACGTCTGTTCAGTCATGCACATAGAAAAGGAAACACACTCTTTTATTGTCAGCAAATTATGTGTTTCATCTTTTTGTCATAGTTCATCGGGATCTTCGTCAAAGTGCATCAAGTAACACATGGAATAAACGCTGCAGCTATAAAAAATATTAAACCATTAAACATCATAGTTGCCAATTAAACAGTAATTACCTTTGAAATTGTTTGGCATGTGTGCAGCTTTTATCAGCCGGATCTCACCCTCCATTTTTGCATCTTCCTCTGCTGCTGAACAGTAGTTTACAGTGATAAATGGGGCTCATTGATTTTCTTTTCATGGTTGTAGCAACCTAAGTTACCTGTCAACACTGCTTCACAACACTGTCAGTGTTATCAGTCGAGCATTGACCTTCTCCACAATGATTGCATGTTATTGTTTTATTTTATTTAATAAAGTCAATCATTCACTCTGCAGCTCTAAACCCATGTTCACACTCTATTCTCCTCCCTTCCACTGACATAAGCGCCTTTATAACCTCACTATTCAGTGATATAGTGGTAAATGAAAGTATGGAAGAATCATGACGTCCTGGTAGTAAAAATCAACGATGTCTTATGAAAAACATTTTTTATCCTCTTTCAGTTTACAAGATCCTTTTGAGCTTTATCATTTTCATTGATATTCATCATTACTCAAACCTTTGTGACTGATAATCTCTTTTCTTCCCTGTGACTCATTATTTCACCCCTTATACCTGTTGACTACCTCGATATTTTCATATCAAATAAATTAGCAAGTTCTTCTACGTGGTCTAATAATGGTATTCAAATGTGCTCCTTGTGTATCTTTTTTAGTTTGCATAAAGCTATTAATAATAGTAATCTTTGCCCTTCCTGTCTCTGTCTGTCCCCTTACCTCTCTCACTCTTTCTCCCCCCTTTAGGGAACAGTGATAGTGGGAAATGAGATTCATGGCTTGAAGGTGAAACATCTGCATGTGGGAGGAGTGCTGGGCTCCGGAGAGGTTCAAAATGGGATAAGAGGATGCATACAGGTGAAGATGGATGAATTGAATTTTAAATGTTTATTGATGGATGGGTGGGGGAAAGCTGGAAGTATTGGCACATGAGAGATGGAAATGGGCTAAGAAATGAGTTTGGGATGAACAGATTTTAATAAATGAATGAAACTGCCAATTGCTTTTTGTAACTCTCTGTAACATAGACCACTTTCTCTCTGTCTACAGGGCGTTCGGCTGGGTGTACGGCCAGATGCCCCTCCCCTGCCTCGCCCCTCAAGAGCGGTCAAAGTAGAGACTGGCTGTAATGTTGGCAACCCCTGTGTCTCGTCTCCTTGCCCCACCCACAGCCACTGTTCTGACCAATGGGAGCGGCACACCTGTATCTGCGAACCTGGTAAGTGAACAGAGAGATGATTCTGGTGTTATAGACAAGGTTGAAGATGCTCTCGCTGAGGAATGGGACACAATATTTTAGTTTGGAGGTATTACGAGGCTCTTTAACGTTCAGCCAGTTTAAATGATTGACTTCTTGTTCAAAAAGTGGATTGTTTATATTCTTATTTATGTAACTGCATGGTGTAATAATACAGGGAGCGGAAATGGAGGGATGCTGTTCAGCTGCAGCGACAGCCAGGACACTGAAAGAGGTTAATGACAGTGACAAGTTTTTGATAAGTAGCTGTAAGAAACACGTTGAACGCTTTTGTTAGCCACACTACTTCTAGTCCCGTCAGCTTTTCGCCATTGTGCAAGACAAAATTTTGCTGTGTCACTTCTTCTCTAACAGCACCATTATTGTGCAGTTAGACGAGAACTGACACATGTAGGCATTTTATTTTCAATAAAGTTACAATTTTAAGATTAACATTAACATTTTCCTTTAACATTTTATGGACTCAACTATTCAGCCATTTATATATAATAGGGGATTCATTGGCAGCAGCTCGATTACTTTGTAATGCTAATAAAGTTATACGACAGATTTTAAACCTTGGAACAATTTGCACTTCTGTTAATCTCATTCATCTCATCATGTTTTGACCTTGCCAACGAATACATTCAACTTCAACCAAAGATGATTTTCCACTTGAGTCATGCAAGTTAAATTGCACACATGCTAACCTCTTTGCCAGGGAACTGGTCCTAATATTTTGCACACTGGACATTGGATGTGAAAGAAAAGAGGTGTGAGGGGAGATGGTGAAAGAAGCCAGCTGACTTCGAGAGAGAGAAAAACTGAATAACTATAATGTGGCCATATCTGTGTAGGTGTCTGCCAATGCTCTAACTAGGTTAAACAGATATTTGGGAATGCATAATGAGTTCTCATCCACTGAGAGAAAGAGACTGACTGCGGGCTAACTCCCAAAATCTCCTTCGTCAGGTGAATATAATGAGGCTGAATTAATGTGGAGGAGAAAAAAACTGATTAAAAGAGAAGGAGAGGAGTGGAGAAGCAAAGGAAGAGAGAAGAGAGGAGGGGAAATGCATACTGTATAGAGAGCAGTATAGAAAGAAACAGTAGAGAAAGACAACAATAGAAAGATGAAAAAGAGGCAGAGGAAGAACAGAGAGACTGAAAATGTTAATGATTAATGAAGAGAAAGAGGCGGGTGACAGAAATAGTGTAAAATAAACAGTAAAAGTTTGGAGGCAAGAAGAAAGAAAAGAAGAAAGAGGGCAAACGAAAGTCAAATCAAACAGCCTGAAAACACTGGTGAAACAATTGGGAATACATCCACACACAGCTGACATATATGCACATAGAGACACTCATATCATAGAAAATCAACATGACAGATGCACACAGAACAGAGGATGAAGAGTGATATTTGATATTTATTTGGAGCTTCATTAGCAGCTACCGATGCAGCATCTGCAGTTCAGTTCTGCGGGTATTGATTAAACAGACTGGACCAACCAAGCAGAGATGATTAAAGGAGATTACTTATATTTCTTATTAAAGGAGAAACGAGACAAGAGCTCAAATAGCAAATGAAGAGAAAAAGAACCACATTAAAGACAAAACCAAGCGAGGGAGAGAGAGAAAGTTTCCAATCCACCTTTTCATTAGTTTGTCAGGATATTGATACTCTCTCTCTCTCTGCAGCTCAACCTGCATATCTTCTTAGCCTTTCTTAGTTCATCAGTTCTGTTTTTCAACCACAAACAGCACCTCAGTCAAAGCGCCTCTGCTTAGGAAGGCAAAGCTGCAAGCCAACAGTGTGAGAGTCTGTGACTTGCGGTATGTTTCAGCTGATTATGTATGCATGTAAGGTGAGACTACGTCAGCACTAAAGTTGACTCGGTCACCTCTGTGAGCAAACAACGCAACAAAATATGTCCTACTGCCACAGGCTGCTACACAGGAGTCCCAATGACAGAAGAGAAATCCATGAAAAGTTTTTCAAGAAAGAAAAGTTTGAAAATGAGAGCATGAGATTAAAGTAGAGGTGGAGGGAGTGGAAGAGGAGAGTGTGTGTTATGTGTGGGATACAGTTTGTTAAAGTGAGAGAGCCTCAGGCCTGACAGCATGGGAGAGGAAGCAGAGAGGCGCTGCTATCCCTGTAGCATCCTGCGCCAACCCGCAAGCTAATGCTAATACCTTGACTTATTAACATGGAGCGCACACACAAAAAGGGTACACACACACACACACACACACACACACACACACACACACACACACACACACACACAAAAGCGCATGCACAAACTTTGTGTGCATGAACTTATTTACTGTAAACCCACTCACACACATTCTCTCTCTCATTATCATTATCTTTCATCAGCACAATGAGCATTAAAAATGGAGACTGTTACAATGTATGCTGCTTAGAGACAAATCAAATCAAAGTTTAATAAAAGCAGAGAGAGAGAGAGAGAGAGAAAAAAAGTGAGGCACACTATAAATAATTCCCTTTCATGTGCGTGTTTGTGTGTGTGTGTTGGCCTGGTGCTGAAACTAACCCAATGGGTCTCTCAAGGAACTGACAGCACCTCTGATTTGTGCATTACAGACTCCTAGAAAACACAATAACACTTGCACCCACACACACACACACACACACACACACACACACACACATACAGAGAGACAAGGTTGTGCATGACAAAGCACAGAGACATCTGCTCTCTCGTCCTCTCACTGTGTGTTCCTGTATTTCTGAGTAGGTATACAGTATTTACGTGACAGTTGCTGCCAGTTGCTACAGGCTAATTCACTGTGGTGAAAAATTTAATTTAATATGATAAATTACTGCCATGTTGATTTATGTCTGCTTGAGTTCCCTGAGCTGTTTAAAAACCAACTCAATCTTATGTAGAAAACATACGTTCAGGGTTCTCATAACCATTAAAATAATGGTTGAAAACAAAACATTTCAAATAAATATTTCTTCAGATGGGGTTTGTCAGAAAAGTGCATTATATGAGGTTGTTGTGTTTAGGTGTGGTGTGCAGCTGCAGTATATTAAGCTCGGACCCTCAGGGAGAAAGAGGGAGAGATTTATGAGTTTCAAGTTATATTTCCTGTGTTCTGACCTACAGTAGATGCCAGATCCTTAAGGTGCTGAATCGGGACAAAGTTGTTCTCCATGACAAATGAGTCCTTGCCTAGAAATGTCAGTTATTGATCAGGTTTGAGATCAAAACTAGATATGTACAGGTGTTTGGCACTGTTGTACGGCTATATGAATGGGGCATTGGATATACAGAGTTTTCCTAAACTTGAAAAATCTTCTGTTTGAAGAAAGTTTGCTTGTAAGATTACTCACACAGTACACTGGCAGATGAAGTGTATTTTTTAAGTCTCTGAATCCTGTTCAGACTCATTTTGAACACATTATCGATATAGAATATAAATAATAATATAGTTTTTTCATGTTTGAGATACCAGACTTACAGTCAAACCCACCCATGTTGTCTGGTCAATAGCTGTCATTATATACCAATATTAGCTCGTTATTTCAGTCAACCAACATATGCTACTGGCCAAAACCAAGTTTAACACAATAGTGTACATTTTGAGACTGCATCAGGAAGTGCCCCATTCACCATGTTTACATGTATGTGGCAAAGCCTTCTATTGGCTATAGTTATTACGATGGGAACAATGGGGGAAGTGAGGTGATGTTATTATAGATTGATGAAGTCTGTATAGGCAGGTCGGGATGGGTGAATGGGTCAACAAAACATCAGACTTAATAAGGAAGACTCAAACCATGATTCAAACCTAAACCATTTGGGTTTTGGAAGCAAACAATGTTGTCTTGCCAATTGGGGCATCAGACCAGAAAACGTTGTTATTGTATAGGGCAAACAACATATTTTGTAGTTTAATCTAAAGTATATTTCCCCAAAAAAACTCCCTAGAGCCCTGGACTCATTGGATTGTTGGTTGGTAAGGCTGAACCACACAGTGTGCTGTAAAACCAAAACAATGACTGGAAAAAGGCCAGAAAGCTCAATAGAGCTCCATAGTTGGAATAAAATTGTATCGCTGTGAGCAGCCGCCTTCACGTAACACACATAGATCACTGGATTCAATGTTCACAGCTATCGTTCTGTTTTCACCAACACATTTTTATGGGATATTCCTGACATGCACAAACTTTCCACTGTCAGAAAGAAGACAGTTGGATACGCAGAGGATGAATGGATGGTTCAGTGAATAGATGACTCATCTTTCTTTTCCTGATTGTAGTCTTGTGGAGAAGTCAAGCTGATGTTGTATTATAATAAAATGTCTAAAGCCACACAAAGCTGTGAATCACCGTGTATGTGTGTACATGTCAAGAAGCAAAACTTTTCAGAAGAGAAGCTCCTGGACCCTGAAAGACAAAAACCTACACACACACACACACACACACACACACACACGACTTACAACTCTTTGTTCTTACAGGCTCAAGCCTCTCTCTCTCTTTCTCTCTCTCTCCCTCACTCCCCCCCCCCCATATTGCTGTGACAAGGCCAGTGTCATTATAAGGGTCTGAAAACAGCCAAGGCTGTCATTGCCTCTCTCTGTCAGTTGCCATGGTGAAAGTGTAAAGATGTATAGGGCTGATAGAAGATGATTGAGTGTGTGTGTGTGTGTGTGTGTGTGTGTGTGTGTGTGTGTGTGTGTGTGTGTGTGTGTGTGTGTGTGTGTGTGTGTGTGTGTGTGTATGTGTTTGAGAGAAAGCAACAGAAGTGGAGAACAACGGAGTCGAAGATGGAGAGTGGGGGATCATGATAAAACAAATAAGAGACTGAACACTGGCACTGTTTGTGTCTGTGTGTGTGTGTGTGTGTGTGTGTGTGTGTGTGTGTGTGTGAGTCTGTGATCCTATAATCATACCTGTGTGTTTTTGGTTTTATGTGAAATGAATAATTGGAAACGGAACAATAGCTGTGATTATCTTTACTCTTTTGTTTGTATAATGCCTGAAATATTTTCAAGTGATAGGAAGAGAGAGAGAAAGGTAGATGAAATGAAAAACACTGTTTGTGAAGGTTTGAGGAGAGAAAAAAGCAAGGCCAATGTGTGTGTGTGTTTTGCAAGTTACAGTATGTGTGGGTTTGTAGTTTCACAAAGAACAGAATAAGCTAAAGAGGCAGATATTTAAAGAATAGGAGTCATTGGAAAGCTTTTGTGTGTCTAAAGCTGCAGCCAAGGCCACAGCCTTGAAAGGCAGAGGAGCTTCTGTATTTTCTATCTACAAACATGTGAAAGCAGACCTCCAGAGAGAGGAATGCAGACCTCAACAAGCTGCAAACACACTTCAGTCACACTTCAATCAATAGAGACGTCCTTCTATTCAGTGCTGTTAAATTAAAAAGGAGGCCTGAAAGCAGAACCCGCTGATGGAGTTGAGGTGATTGTATGTGAGGTCCAGATTTTTGTTGGTGAGAACGTCAGAGAGATGAGTGAGACGCTCTGGGCAAAATGTAATATCTTGTTACGAAGATCACATTTATTTCTTAATAAATATTAATGTGAGTATTTCGTCTTGGAGCAGTTACCAGGCCTTTAAGCATTATGTTTGTTGTACGGACTATCTTAAAAGGACAAATCTGTATGTAAAGCATGTGTGTTATTCTGACACACACAGATATATTCAAAACAGAAACCTAACATTTTCACCCCTGAATTGTCTCTTATTATTAGTAGTTGTTTAATAGTAGCATATAATTGCAGAAAATGTGTAAAAAACGTATTTTAAAATTAAATTGTAATTTCCATGTATGTATATTATGATAGGATTCCCAATGGATTATTAGACAATATTTCATAAGGCATTCATAATTATGCAGTAAATTTGAATATATATTTATGTTTATCTGCGTTTTATAAATAAAAATTAACTTGTACATGGACACACTGTGGTATAAACCTTACAAACAATATTACATTTAATGTAACAAATCTTAAGATCAGTTGTATCAAAAAGGATTCAGTGTTTTTTAAATTTTTATTAATACTAATTCAATTAAGTAAAAGATTAATCTTTTCATCTACTTGTTCCTTCAGAGTCAGTGTGATTTGATTTTTATTGTTTAATGCTTTTGAAACATGTAAGTGTTATGGTGCAGCTAAGTCCCATAATATTTTAATTCAACTATTAATACAAGTACATTGAAGACTAAATACAACAATTATGTTCTTTCTAAATTAAAAGCAGGTCTGGGTGAAAGGGCTTCTTTATTTGTGCTAAATACACCCCAAAGTGTGTGTGAAGCACTCTGCTTTAGTCATTAGATTAAAGAGGGGTTTTATGTTCTGGCCTGTATTATCATATAAGAGGCTGGTGTGTTTGTGTGGAGTGTCTGGGGATTGAATTTAAGTGTACGCCGGCTTCGTTCACCGTGCTGCACCGGCGCACTGAAGTGTACGCTGGGAATTTGTGTGTTGTACGTGGTTGTGTTGAAGTGGCTTGTTCAGTGTGCTGTCTTTGCTTTTACTGAGGCAAATTTATCTTCTCTGCTATGGCTTAGAGGTGTTTAAACATTTTCTCCAATGACTTGGTTGGCTCTACCTGATTTTGTTCCCTTTCTTCACACGCTGTTGCTGGTACAAATTCATACCTGTTATGAAGAGCTATTGTGGAGAGGAATCAACTCTTTGATTTATTGTTTAATCTGTAAAATGTTTCAAAACTTGTAAATAATGTCCAAGGTGACAGCTTATTTTGTTCAACCAACAGTTCAAACCCCAAATATATTCATGTAACAATTATATAAAACAGAAATATTTGAGGAACCAGCAACTATTTGGCATTTTTGCTTGTGTCACAGCACAGGTAGTACTGGTATAATGATTTGTTTTAGGTAAAGGTGGTTTAATTACTGCACCAGCTGAAAGCCTTGTTTTGTGTAGTTCACCATATTAAGTGTACTGTTTCCTTAACGCTCAGATTGTACGTGCTTGTATTATTTTTGGCTGAATTGAAATGAATGACTGTGTTTTTTTAATTCCTTTTAGAGCAGTTTCTTTGAGAGGAAGCGTTGCTTTGTGTTTCAGTGGATGACAGCATTGTAATGCACAATTGTGGCTTGTTTCCCAGTGGATTGCCCAGCTGGAGCGAGCCGGGAGAGTGACGGTTGAGATAATCACTGTTTGATGTTTGAGATGTGTACTTGTAAACTGACAGGTTATTCTGTGTGGTACATGAATGGGAAATAGAGTGGCGTTCTGCATATTTAAATTTCAGCAGCATTTTATGATTGTACATGCAAAGAAAGTTCTTCGCAGACATTGTAAATGCCTGTGTCCTCTTCTTTTGTCAGGTCTTCTGTGTCTGATTATTTCAAGTTTCAAAATAAATCAAAAATTGAATGCAGTATTTCCAGTGATAAAAGACTAGAATATCAAACAGATGTACTTCTCTAATATTTAAAGGGACATTGTGTAGGAATTTCTCCCATCTAGCGGTGAAATTGTATTTTGCATTCAAACGAATAGTGCTCTCTAGTGCCTCGCGTTTTCAAATGCGTATTGCAACTACGGTAGCTGTTATGTACCAAGAAGCCTACCTGTCGAGGAGAAAGCAGGCAACTTCAGCATCCCTTTGAAAGTCTTTCACCTTCATTAGCTCTTTCCACCTGGGAAAAGCAACCCCGATGTTTACCCTCGTTTTTTTAATTCGCCGGTCACGTTGCCTTTTTAATTCCCTTTTTCGCTTTTTTGGCGACGAGGATTCCTTCTCCTGTGGCTCGGCATAAGTGTGATCCTCCATTATGAACTAAAGTGCAGTGCAGACTTTCAAATGTGCCGGGGCAGTGACAAGCGCCCCTCACTGATCTCCCTCTCCGTTATAGCTGGTTTCAGTCACGTGATGCTGGCTCCGAACGAAAACGTTGTAGATTAGCTAGACAGGTAGGCTAGTGCTTTATGTCCCTCTCGAAGATTATAGTTTTTCAAAATGGCAGAACGACATGGCAGCCTCCATGGACTTGCCGGTCCAATGTACATACAGATAAGACATTCTTCGCTTACGAGGATAAGTCAGATCATTGGCAGAGGTAATTTTATACCAATGAGGACACATTTATGAATGAAGGACGATTGATTTTAGCTAATAAAATACTTAAAACACTACACAATGTCCCTTTAAGGAGAGGTAACACGCAAATTAACTTTAGGCCCTTAAAACTTAGTTTTAATTCTTTAAGTACTATTAATTTTGGGTGAAAAAAATGGTATTTATTATTTATAAAGAGTTCAGTTCAACTCTGAAATTCAGCTATCTGTTTCATCAGGACTGTATGGTTTAATCAGAGTAGTTCAACAGTGGCCTGGCAACATAAGGAAACAAACTTGCAACTGTCATCACACTTTAATTCAAGGGTTCCTAAACTATCTAAAGGGTGTTTTTGTACAGTAGTTCTGTTTACGCAAAAGTTAATCTTAAAGAGAGAGGGTGTGGTTTTGGTTAAATATTTGAAAAGTTACGGCTGACATGAGACAGGATGCATTTCTAATATTTAACCAACACCAAAAGCAACCTTTCATTAACATTAACCAAATTCCTTTAGTGGCTTAAACCTAACAACAACAGTACCTAACATTTGTATGTCCAACCATCCACTCGGACCTCCTCCCTTTGACTTCTGTGCAATACATTTACGAGGATGTCACACTTCCTGGATTAGAAAATACTGTATTATTTGACCTCTTGGATGGCACAAATCCTGGTACAAAGCATTGTGAAATTAATCCATTACTCTCTCTCTTTCTCTCTCTCTCTCCTAGGTTACTATGGGAGAGGCTGCACTGACGCTTGCCATCTGAATCCGTGTGAAAACGAGGCTCAGTGCCACAGGAAGCCCAGCTCTTCCCATGGATACATCTGTGACTGTGGAGACAACCACTATGGGCAGTACTGCCAACACAGGTACACACATACTTGGACACACATGCACGTACAAACACACACGATTGACTCAACACTTGAACTACAGTTTGCCTGTGAGATGGCTACGTGGTCTAAAGCTCTTTGATGCTGCCTGTAGTCCAACTAAGCTCTGCTGATGTGTGTGTTTCTTACTGGCTTTAGTTTTGCCTTGTTGTCCCATATCTCCAGCCTTGCGTGTAATCCACTGTGGACTAAGTGTAGATTTAATGTAATAACACACGCACACACACACACACACACACACACACACACACACACAACACATACACACCAAGGTTATCTGTGTGTGTTTTAAACTGTGTGGAGGGAGCGTGACCCTGATCTTACCCCTTCCTTCCTGCCTGCCTGTGAAATCCACACAGCTTTTACTGTATCTCATGATCTGTTCTGTGTGTGAGCGTGTTTTATCTTTGATCTAGTTGGTGTGTGTTTTTCACACGGACACACATTGTCCGCTGCTGATGAAATATAAGTCTACAAGTCTCTTTCTCTCTTAATTTCCTGTGATGTCTCTTTCTCTCTCTCTTCCCCTGCTGCTTTGATTTCCCCAAATTTAGAAGTTTGACTCATTAATCAATTTCATACTACTTCTACGTCAGTAGATGGTAATAATGATAAGGGATCAATCATCTTTTTAAAGTAAAAGTTTCAAAAAAAGTTGTGGTTTCTTAAATGGGATGATTTGCTGATTTTATTTATCATATTTTCCTTCAGTTCTGGTCAGATCACTCACTCATGACATCAGTTATTTTGTCTTTAAAACTAAACTCAATGATCAATTAATTGTTAGCTGCAGCCGTGTTATGTTCAGGTGACTGGTATCTTGAAAATAAGACAAATGAGAACTTGTATCAGCTCTGAAGCTAACATGGTAAATAATCATAATACACACAGTTTGAAGCAAACTAATTTAGAAAGGACTATTTATCAAAGCACAACTAGTACTGTAAAGACCCAGCCTCGGTTTCTATGTTCCTTCTTCCCCAGTTTTAATTACACATATCATTTGACTCTCTGGATGTGTTTGTCTTGCTCTTTAAGCCCTTTGAGCACAGCGGGGAGCGACACCGTCGAGAGATGTAAAAAAAACTCTGGAGAAAGAGTCAGTCCTTATATTCTGTTAAGATCTCTGACATCTGAATTCTCTCCCCCAAACTCCCCGTGAGGAGCAATAGAGAGATGCATTCCAGAATCTGCATCAACTGCAAGAAGCATTAATCTCCTCAATGATCCATTAGACATTGATATGAGAACACATTAAGTGAAATGTGAGTAAAGAGAAGGAGACAGCTAAATAATGCGTACCATAAACCAGAGTGATAAAATCTGAGGAGTGGAAATTCAGCAGTTTTAGAAAACAGTCGTAATCCCACTCTGACTTTAAAATGAGCGAATAGCTAAAGGTGTTTTTGCTCATATTCTTGCTCAAATTCATATTCTTTTAGCACGTCTGTCATGATCTCTCAGATTGCACCTTCAGTATCAATATTTTCTCTCAGTTCAGTCCCTCTCCTAACTTCCTTCATCTCACTCTCTCTCTGTCTGTCTCTTTCTGTTGCTTTCATCTCTTTGTTCCCAACTCATTAGCTAGTTAGTCATTATTTAGAAATCAGAGAGAAAGATGACTCCTTTGAAGAACGTATAAAAGTTTTTGACACGCTCTGTTGCTCTGTTGCTTTCTGTCACCATACTGATCTACCTGCTGCCGTTACTGATTCTACCTGTTGGTGTGTGTGTGTGTGTGTGTGTGTGTGTATGTAGAATTGATCACCAGTGTCCAAGGGGTTGGTGGGGATCTCCGACCTGTGGACCATGTCACTGTGACACCAATAAAGGCTTCGATCCCAGCTGTAACAAGACCAGTGGACACTGTCATTGCAAGGTAACCTGGAAACACAAACACATACACACTCTCACACACACACACACACCTACACACACTGCAACTTTCAGCCATTCATGGCTGGAATACTAATTTGTATATCACTTTGTAAAGTGTATAGAAATATATTTTGGCATGTTTTTACTCTTGGCTGAGGTTGGTGCATCAAATGAAATGGAAACAGAGTATCTGATAATTTGCAATTATAGTGCAGTATCTGATTGTTTCTTTATCTGTTTCTTGTTTCTTTAGCTGTAGATGCAGAATCAGATGACTAGTATAAACTAGAGAGCTGTTAAAGCTATTCAAAGCTTGACAATTCAGAATGGTTACAGACCTGCTGGTAAAAAGTCGATTTTTTTTCCATCATCACATTGAATACTGATACTGTTAGGATTAGAAGGACTTTAGTGGTGTAACTGTGTAGGTCACGTTGGCTTTGGTTTAACCCAGACGCACAGTAATCATCTCACAGTCTGATGGTCTGACAGGCTAATCCAGACATACAAACTACATCAACCATGATACCATATTATCCCTACATATTGCCCTGTATGAATGTGTGAGTGTATATTGATATGTTTGTGTGTCCCCAACATGTTTAACCCTGTTTTATCCTGTGCTTAATCTGATCTTTTGACCTTAATCTTTAATCCCTGATATTGCTCTTGAACATGTTGTCCTGTGCCCTTTGGCTTCTTGTTCGTAATTAAAATTAAAAAAGTGTTCTTAAAGACGAAGGTTGAAGCTTGTCGTGCTCACAATGTAAGAATGTTTTCATTTCGCCTACGTACATATCGTTCAGGTTAAGTCAATGGCAGCCTCTTCCATCGGTGAATGAATGTGTGAATGTGACACGCAATGTAAAGCGCTTTAAGTGGTTCGGAAGATTAGACAGGTGCTATATAAGTGCAGTCCATTTAACATTTACCGTTTACTTTGATCATCTGCATTTCTGAGACCTACAAGTCAGAAAACCTTAGCTACTCTCCAGTTCAGCTGGGGTGCACTGTTCATGTTCTGATCCATAAAGCAACATCAGATAACTTGTTACTGACCAACCGATTATGTTGCATCCTGTAAAATGCAACATAAAGTTGCTACACTCTGGTAGTCTCATCAGAGATAATCTTTTTGTGTTTGGTAATTAAAACTCGCCTTCAAGATGCCCTCCAGACATGTTTTAAGACATGTACTAAATTATAAAAATGACATCTAGTCCTTCTCCCTCTTTGGTTATACCAGAATCTATGAATATGCAAATATTTTTCATAAAGGTATAACTGCTGGACACAAGATGTCTCCTACTTTACTTAAAAAAACTAATTATCATTGCACAGGATGCTTCAAGTTTCCAAACCTTATAATATATATATTGAATCCCAGTTGGTTTTTCAAACTGGTTGTCATGTCACAAAATCTTGCTTGTAGGTTCATGCCTTACATTAAGATTTAAGGTAAGCTCACAGAAACTTTCCCATGTAAGCACATTCATGTGAAAACAAACTATAAACATACATCATTCTGCACAGTGAAGCTCAAACATCCAAGTGAAGTTACAATAAGGTATATAGTAACACATTTTGAGTTGGTGAGGGCACCATCAACCCTCTACAGTAGCTCCATCATTATTTTTCCAAAATGCAGTGTTATATATTCTCATGCAAGTTTAGCAAACTAAATAATTAAGTTCTTTCTTTTATCTCTGGCTCTTTTCACATAATACATGGATTGTTGCCCTTGTATTCATGTCTCTGTTATAACTGGGTCTCTTTTTGTGTCATTGTATAAATCTTGCCCTAATGCATGTGGTGATGTAATCGCTGACACTATTCTTGGCCGTGACATTTTACATTTGTCTGACTGAATTTGATCTGTGCGCCTACTCATGCCCGCCCTGTGTCTATGTGTGTGTGTGTGTGTGTGTGTGTGTGTGTGTGTGTGTGTGTGCACGTGTGTATTCAGGAGTTTCACTATCATCCACGGGGCTCTGACACCTGCCTACCATGTGACTGCTATCCAGTGGGTTCCTTCTCACGGTCATGTGACCCAGAGACAGGCCAGTGCCAGTGCAGGCCCGGCGTGATTGGTCGGCAGTGCAACTCATGTGACAACCCCTTCGCTGAGGTCACAAATTCAGGATGTGAAGGTTAGAACGCTTATCTCCCTTATTTCAGACACTTTGATCAAACATTTGGAAATTATGTATCTCTCTGTTGCGCTTCAAAATTACTCTGTTTCACCCAACAGGTGGCTGCATCGTTGATTTAGTCATTTGTTGTTGTGCTCAGCATCACATCTCAGACACTGCAGGGGAAAAAAAATTGGAAAAATGAAGTATTTCACTGCTGCATTGTGTTCTTTCCAAAATAACAGTAACTTGACTAGCGGGAGGTACTGAGATTAAGTGTTAAAACAACATATTTGCTATTGATCAGGGAACAGAGTAATTCATGACTTTTTCCACCAACTACTATATTTTGATGGGTAAAAATATGTCACTATTTTGCAGCTCCTTTGTGGTTTATTGAAAAAAAGAACCAAAGTATTTACAAAAATTGTCCACTTATGAACAATAGTTTGCAAAGCTGAATTTAATATTGACACTTTGTCAGTGTTGTTCTCCAACAATAGCCAAAATCATGTTTTACCTTGTTTGTTTATTTAGTGTAATTGCCCCTTGTCAAATGGTACAGAAAACTGTGTCCTGCATAATTTTTAAGGCGATGTATAATTTCCAAGATGGACTTAAAACCAGTATTCAAACTGAGTTATTATCCATGGAGACAAACAGACATGAATGAAAATAATGAGGCACTACTGAGCTTCCACCATATTTAATCATAACTGGGTAATCACAGGATTTCAATTTCTTCTTTCAAAATAGTCATATTTATCAAACATGTGTCCGAGCCTAAAATAACAAAGAAACTGTTAATTATTTTTTAAATCTTCTATTTAGCATATTTTCTCTCCATCGTCTCTGTTTCTCTCTTTAATGCAGCTTTGTCACTCCAGTTTTCCGCTTTACTTCCTTTAATTTGTAGCTGGAATTTTATTCTTTCACACTCATTTTTTTCTCTGCAAGTCAAAAGAAAAACAATTTCCACATCATTACTGACTTTTTGTTTTTAATCGAAAAGTTCATCAAACTCGTAAGAATGATTTTAAATTATATTGTGTCTCTCTACAGTCATTTATGATGGTTGTCCGAAGACCATCACTCAGGGGATCTGGTGGCCTCGGACCAAGTTCAACCTGCCTGCCGCAGTGCCCTGCCCCAAAGGCTCTGTCGGTCCGTACACACTCATACACACTAACATGAGTGCATTCAGTCACATAGACATAGATACACTCACATACAACCTAATGTCAGTTTTGAACTTTTTTTTATACGCCATGTCCTCTCCTCCTTACAGGTGCGGCCATCAGACACTGTGATGTTGAGAGAGGATGGCTTGAGCCAGACCTTTACAACTGCACCTCACCTCCATTTGTGGAGCTCAATGCTGCTGTATGTACAGTAATACCACTAATACCATTACACACATGTCTTCATCTGTCCCAAAACTTGTACCAGCCCAAATCTAATATGTACCGCTCAATTAAAACAATAAATAAATACTGTAATGAATAGAACTGAAATAGAAATCATCAGCAACTGAAGAGTCCAGAGGAACTTCACTTCGTGTTTGCTGACAAGTGCTTTCAGTTTGGTTGACATTTGGTGTCGGATATAGTTATAATTTAGCTGTTTACATGCAGATATTTTATACAAGTAAGCAACTTTAGACATTCAGTAGTGAGTCACATTAAATTCAAATTTTTCATGTTTCGTTGGTGTCTATATGTTTAGCTTGATTCTCTGGAGCGAAATGAGACAGAGCTGAACACAATCATGGAGAAGAAACTTGCCCACCAGCTCCGTGACGTCACAGAGGCAACCGCCCGACTCTACGGGAATGACTTGCAGATCGCCGACCGACTGCTGTCCCGCCTCCTGACCTTTGAGACCCAACAGAGTGGTTTCGGACTCACCGCCACTCAGGATGCACATTTCAATGAGGTAAAAAGAAGAACACTTTCCTTTTGGCTATTGTTCAGTTTGTGACAAACAGACAGGAAGGAGTAGAGGCAGGTGTACAGCTAAAGCATTTAGATTTTCTTGTAGTGGCACGTGATGGAACATAAGGTGACATGTTTTTCATTAACAAAGGCTGTTTATTGACTGATTGAGGTTAGAAATTGTGTAATTTATAGTCGTATTGATATTTTAATGATTAAAAATGGTCAACATATCTCATTTAAACCACAAATATTGGCCAATGTGCAAGTTGTGTGAAAGACAGACCAGATCGTGATGTGTGAAGCCAATAATCAGTTTGCACTGTTGATTTTAATGTGCGAAGATCTAAACATGTTATGAAATGCATCACTGCCACTGTGCCAGCTCTGTTTTGAACACACTTAATTGGGATTGTCAACCAAGACAACTGTAACCAACACGCTGATGAACATTTTGGAATAGTGGTTTACGGAGACCACAATAAATGTATCAGTTTTGGGGTTTGATATTCTACCATCACAAATGTATATTTTAATGATTGATATAGTATTAAGTTATTTTAAGGACTGAAACAGACTTCCACTTGATATTACTGTTAGCACACATCTGCACAGAATCTGACATAAAATAACTGCTGTTATTTAAATCAGCAGATATGATTGATATACTGTACCTTTATGGGGTACAGACCCATTGACTAGATAGTACAACAAGATGTCTTTTTTCTGAAATGGGAGGTAATGTTGCTATGGCGATGCAGTGACAGCAGCGCATGAAATATTGCAGCTTGTCATCTCCCCATATTAATTGACAGAGTCTCATTTTACCTGATACGCTGGCTTCAGCTGAGGACGCAGGAGCTGACACAGGATCATTTTAGCATGTTGGTGTTTTGACATAAAGGCGCTAACACACATCTCCATATCATTTTGCTATAAATATTTAGCTTATACATCAGATTTGGCTGACAAGAAATGAGTTGTCCATACATCACAAGTAAGTGGCTGAAGATATAAAGTAAAACCCCCCTTTGCCTTTTTAACTGCTGTTTCAATTTACTGGCTCGTGTGTCAGTAATTGACAAATTGCATGTCACTATGGAAACAGTGATATGAAATTGACACCCCACATGCTGACAATACTGTAAATATGTTTATTAATGAAGAGAATTTTAATATTAAATCGTTATTATTCAGACTTTTCTCCCTGTCATATAAACACACATAGTTACACATTGCTACAATACATAGCTTTGTATGGTCTTCTATCAGTAGTAGTAGTAATAACAGTTATAATATTAGTAGTAGCAGTATTTCTAGCAAAAGTGCAATAAGGAATTTTTATGGTGTTGAATGTTAATCCCACGCTACCTGACACTTTAGTTCATTTATCTTTAGCTGATGAGTTAGTTCCAGCTGGTTTATGCAGGCAGGAGGTGATTAATTCATATTCAACACGGGCCACGGTGGGCAGTAAAAAAGCATTTTTTTTTTGCTCTCATGATCAGAGTTGACACAGGGAAGCATTTAATAATTAATGCTAACAGTGAGGATTTAGCCACCCGATGACAACTGTAACAGAAGTAGCCACACCCTGCAGTGCTGAAACAGACTCAGTCATTGATAATGTCAGTGTTATACAGTTAACAACGAGTTGCTATAGAAACTGAGTGGTTGTGGTAGTAACATCTGAGAGTTTGAACAGAAGAAAGTCGTGTGCGTTTTTAAATATTCTGTTTCATTAATGCATAAACATAATTTTATTACAAAACTCTTTCTAGGTTAAGGCATAAGGTGTGGTTGTCACGTTATATCTCTTGTGCTGTAAATTCAGTGGGTAAAAGGGAGAAGAGTGTACCTTTCCCTCTGAGGTGAACAATAAAATAAATAGCACTCAATTTTATCTGATTTAATATACAGTTGCGATGCTGAATTTCCAGATACACACTGTGGCTCCATTTATGACACTTTTAACAAAGGGAAAGGATGCCAACACACTGGAGTATGATTTGATGGTTTCAGCATGTCAGTCTTTTGTTTCTTTAACTGAATTATTGCATCCTCTTACACACAGCATCTGTCAGGGGATGACGCACCAAATAAAATCTAATGTTAAATGATTATTTTTTAAACAATTTTACGTGAACATGAATATGTTATTGGGGCACTCAAAAGCATCACAGTTATACAGCCTTACACCAAATACAGTACATTGCTTCATGTGATCAATACATTATCTTTTGCTAACAAGGACAGTTGCTATAGCAACACAGCAGTAGCATTAATGACGTCCTATAGTGAGTGAGATGAAAACCTTTTCGTGCCTGACATTTCACTTAACTGCTTCACCTAACAGGAAATCAGAAATGAGGCCATTAGGGTTTAACATTTGGTTAGCTGGTTTATAGCGGCAGGAAGCAACTATGCTTCCACATTAGTACAATGATGATGAATATTGTTTTTTTTATTATTATTTTACAGTTTCCGGAAAAAACAAAAACCTTAACTTGCCTAACTTGTAACCTCAACCTCTGACTCTCAAAAAGTTGTGCCACCTACATCCCATCATCTCGAGGTAATGATGTGGCTCTGGTTTACCCCAGGAGCACTCAAGTGGAGTTACAGACAGCCTGTTTTTTTCCTCAACAATAAAAAAAATATCTAGTATATCTAACAATACTTGACACCTCACTTTAAACAGCAGCTATTAGGCCAGACGAACAGGTAATGTAGAGCGCAGTTACTATAGTAACCCAGCAGCGGTAACAGAGCCCTGTGGCTGCAGGAGAAACAAAGGAAGGCAGGGAGGAGATGTAGAGATAAATGGAGGAATGGAGGAAGATGAAAACCTTTCATGTTCAAGCTGTGATACTACTGTACCTCCAGATAGGGATTATGTATCTACATAGCAAAAAATGTGCCAAATATGTTTTAAAATGAGGAAGAAAACTTTATTGTACGCTCTATAATAGTCATTAATCTGGCATTCATTATGGCACAGTGGACTGCACAATGGTCCTAACAGGTTGGTAATTTGGATCTTGATAACATCAGTGAAGGGTGAGAAGATAATTTAAAGAATTTTTTTATGTAAATATTTTGGGTATAACAAATAATATGCTGTTTGAGTTGCGCATATAATCTGTGTGATGTTCCAACCTTTCATCCATACTGCTTCTCATTTAGCCTTTGTTGGCCTGCTTTTCTTCTTTCTTTAATCCTGTCATCTGCTGCCTCTTTAAAACACTTCCCAGTTGAATACAATCTGCAAATACTCTGCTGTATGCCACTAATTCTCACACACTGGTCCTTGTCTGTCTAATGTTTTTCTTCTACTCATAGTTCTATATGCTCTTTGGTTGTTTTAACCTTTATGATGCAGGATTGAAGGCTCTGTGCATATAGCTTGTGTTCAGGTCTTAAACTCTATATGTTCAGGGTCCAGTGTGTAACATTTAGGTGGATCTATCTTTTCATTTGTGTATAATCACCTGAAAATAAGAATTGTTCTGTTTTTGTTAGAATGAGCCATTTTATTACAGAGGGAGTGGCGTCAGAGATAAGTTTTCTTTTAACAGTCATGCATACCATTTAAGCAAACAATCCTATTTAGTGTTATTTACAGAAATGAACTGAGCTGAGACACAGGCCTACGGTACAAGTTTTCTTACACCCCTTAACATCAAGAAGGCCTCGCAACCTTGACATTATGGTTCATACTAAATCACCACAGAGGTCATCAGAAACATTTTATTTCGAAAAAGGTAACATGATTCTACATGAAAGAAAAATGATGTAACACATTCATACAAAAACTTTTATAATCTTAAAGCATCCACCAAAATAACCCATTTTGTACTACAAACACTTTTCCTCGCTCACTTTGGTACATCTCATCACAGCTGTTTATTTCTCTTGTTCACCTTTGTCTCTGTTCTCTGCATCTCTGAGCCAAACGGAAGCCTCTTTCAATTGCGTCTCCTCTTTCTCATTCTCTTTAATTTCTTTCTCCTTGTCACTTACTTATCTACTATCCCTGTCTCTGATTCTCCCTTCCTCTCTCTCTCTCTCTCTCTCTCTCTCTCTCCCCTTACTAGTTTCTCCCAACACTGAACTGTATATTCTTTTCCTTGTTTGTCTGAAGGTTTTCTTGTGTATTTTTTCTCCCTAGAGCATTATGTGAGATTGCAGCGCTTTATTGGGTTTGATGCAGTCAGACTGCAACGAATAATATCTCTCTCTCTCTCTCTCTCTCTCTCTCTCTCTCTCTCTCTCTCTCTCTCTCTCTCTCTCTCTCTCATACTCTCTTGATCTCTAATATTACTCTCTGTTTGTTCAGAACAATTTGGAAGACTGTGCAGTCTTTACTATATATAACAGGCCTCCATCCAGAGTCACAAATTTTCCATGAAAAATGTGGAATGGAGGCATTGTGCATTAATGGCTATGTCACTGTGGTAAAACTTGCTATAATTGGGGTCAAGACTTGTGTGGATGTTATATTTTAGCTCTATTTACAACTTTTGACAATGTGCTAGTAGTCCCAGTCACAGCAGCCTGACAAAAGGCTTCAATGAGCCCTACAGATTTCTTCTCCCCTGAACCAAAATCAGTAAAAAACTATTAGGCTTTACTGTCTGCATCCCAACCCTGACTCTATATCAGGTTACTTCTTCACTTTCCTCCCCTCTTTACTAACCTGACATGCTTTGCTTTTGTTGACTTAGTACGTGGCTTTGAGGCTTTATTAAGTCTGGAAAGGTGGACTCTGGCCCTTTGGGGAGCCCTGAGTATCTCTTCTCCTTTCCCTCACAATATGTTCTTCATTCTGTCCTCTGAAACCTACTCTTCTTTAAAGGGAAACTTTATATCACCACAAGCATGCACAGTATATACAAATGAACAAGTATATGTAAATGAGCATGTTGCCGGCACCTAGAGCTCTCTGCTCATTTGCTGGACTTTTGCCAGCTCTAAGGCTTTTATTCGAACTACAGATTGTACTTCCACATTTTTACATGCCCGCCTCCACAGACAGTCGGATTGAGAGAGAGGGGGGCTCAGGAAACTCAGATCAAACTGTCAAACTAGGCAGTCCTGGTCACATATGAATCAAGCTTGTGTTACTGCTTTCTATTTCTCACCTCAAATGTGTTCAGAAACATATTTTATTGTAGTACTGTAATACGAGAACATTTCCCTGCCACCATTTTTCCTGTTGAAAACTGATGAGCCACAACCAATCACCAACCAACTCGCTGTACATTATTACAACGTTATTGGTCCGTTGCGACTCAGTACATTTTGTTTGTTGTAGGATTTCTACCTTTTGAGCAAAAGGGAATACCACTGCCCCTCTGTTTTCTCTGGTCACAGTTTCAAAAATATTTGCGTCTTTCTACTGCATAGACACCCCAGTTTTGTGAAAAGATCATACCTTTTATAATCATAATCTTTACAAATTAATAATAATTAATTAACTTGTAGCAGCAGAACCTATTTAAACTGCACTCATGTCCAAGCCTCCTGCTAGCCTTCTATCATACGTTATGCTGTTATAATAAACCGTTAAACCTTCTCTTTCCCTTTCCTCATCCAGGATGTTGACACATTATATCTTATTGTCTTCTACTCCTTGTCTCCAGTACACAAGCTCATGTGGTCGCTGACTCCTCAGAAGCGATTAACAGAAGCACACGCTGAAAAGCTTTTACTAATTGTTAATTTCTCTGTTGCTTCCAGAACATTCTCCGGGGATGCAGTGTGCTGTTGGGTCCTGGTACCTCTGGGCTTTGGCGGGCTCTCACTCAGAGTCAGAACCACATCCCAGGCGGTGGCCCAGCCGGGTTGACAGAGCTGCTGGAGCAGTATGCCCAGAATCTAGCCCAGAACATGAAGCTCACCTACCTCAACCCTGTGGCGCTGGTTGCTCCAAACATAAGTGAGTTCAGAAAGACTGCACACATAGTCACAGACACGCTGACATGATAAAATAGATAATCACTAGTCAGACTCAATAAAAGAGAATAAGACAGTAATACATTCTTAATCTGTACAGACGATTTGCTGCGGTTTCCTCATAATACTGTAAATCACTGCTGTGAAATCAGCTAAAATGACTGATTGTAAAGCGGGAGTTGAACAGCGCTAATGCAAATGATGATGGCACAGCCAGAGCACTGGCAGCCGCTCAGAGAGAGGAATTTCACACTCCTACAGCACACAGCAGCTAAGCACACACACAAAACCCCTGAAGCGCTGTAGCACCGGCCAATATACATCATTTAGATTTACAGATGCCAAGCACACACACACACACTCACAATCATACACATTGAGTATCTGAACACCTAATACCACCTAATAACACTTTTTTTGGCATTTACTGTAAATGAAAGTAGGTTAGACACACAGTCGCCCGCACATTACTGTATGCTTAGTACACATCTGCAATTTGGCCATGTCCCCTGTGTCATCTGGTTTCTGGCACCCTGTCACTTGTACATTTTGCTATTTTACACATTTTTCTGTCACTTTAGTTGTGTTGGACATACTGTTAAATAATCGGTAGCACGTACCACAATAGGTGTTGAAATAGCAACCACAGCTCTGGCGGAGATGAAGCCAGACAATGAATTTCACACTCAGTTAATGCTCTTAGCTACACACACAGATTCAATTCCTATAAAATACCATGCACTCAAAACTCGTGAAACTCATCAAAGTTACTGAATCTTGCCTTACCAGCTTTTTTTTTTTTTCCTTTTCTATGCAACTCTTGTCTCTTTCTTACGTCACTTTATATGCTTCCCCCTTGGAATCCAACCAAAATGCTGTTAAGTAACCATAAACCGCCAGCCTGATGCAGATTCCCAGATGGAGAGCATAGAAGTATGAGCAGCAGTGAAAGCAGAAGGAATAAGAAATACAGCCAACACTAAATTTCACACTCCTACACTCACACAAACACAGTTAATGCTATCAGCCAAATGGGATGTGAATAACTAGGGAAAGGATATGGAGGGACCTGACACACCCATCTGTTATCTTCCAATATATAGAGTTTCTTTTAAAACTGTTTGTCGTCAGTCATTAGATAATTTCAGACTTTTAAAATCTGAAAAACAAGCACTCTTTCACCACATACTAACAAGCGCACACACACACACTCACACACACACACACACACACACACACACACACACACACACACACACACCAATATTATCCTCTCTCTGTATTGAGTGCTGTTCCACTTCTGTTTGCTGGATCAAGTGTTCAGTCATTATTGAACACTCCACATTGACTATGTACTTCCTGTCCGCCACCTCATTTCCTATAATACGACAGTTTCTCTGCTGTGTGTGTGTGTGTGTGTGTGTGTGTGTGTGTGTGTGTGTGTGTGTGTGTGTGTGTGTGATGGATTTTGTATTTGCTCTTCACACTCACACCAAATCCACACAGAATAAATTGGTTTATTGTCACAGGCAGCTCAGGTTTCCTCTTAAATTGTTTGTAAAGAGGAAAATGAGTTGTATTTTCGAATTAAGAAGAAAATTACTCTACACTTAATGACCCACCGTTGAGTAAAACTGGCAAATCACGTAATGGTTTTCAGCTGCCAGAAAGCTGTAAGGCCACTCTCTAGGTTGTGCAGCTTTGGACCAACAGTTGGAGCTGCAGGTTTTAGGAACAATACATTACTTTAAACACCACTTTAATTTTGAGACATTAGTATTGTTCCCATAAACAAAGGAAACAATCGATTAATGTCAGTCTGTAGTTGATGGAGCAGTTTACTTTGTGTGCCATGAGGTCAGACATGGCAAGAAATACTTCAATGCTTAGGATGATAACAGGATGAGGGTGGAAATGGAGCTAAGCCATGATGGGAGTGTCCTGTATTCTGTAAGACTCTGCACTTTTTTCAAGAAGTGCTTTTAGCATCTCCACCAGGCATTCAAGTGAATTTGGTCAATAATATTTTCCTGTTTATGTACACTGCGCATTAACAAACACCTGTTACTTATAGTGTGTCCAAAAATGTGGGTTCATGTGTGTTCATTGCTGCCTGTTTTTCTTATCAGTCATGAACCTAGACCGTGTGGAAAACCAGACCCATGTGCGGAGGCGTTTCCCACGTTACCACACCACCCTGTTTCGCGGTCAGGCTTTGTGGGACCCCTACACCCACGTGATACTGCCTCCTGCTGCACTGGTGCCACAACGACAGCAGCAACACAACTGGAAGGAGAAGGAGCGGACAGAGAAAGAACGTAAGAACAGACGCACAGATACAAAGTGTAAGTAGCTGAAACTAAGAGAAAAAACTCACACAGACTTCTCCATTTCAGCTTCAGCCCCTCAGAATGCTGCTCCAGCATCTGTCAGTGTCTTAGCCAATCAGACAGGAGAATACACAGCAGCCAGACGCACTGTTTCGATGCCAGAGCAGCCCATCACAATCGTCATCTTGCTGATCTATCGCAGTCTGGGCGCCGCCCTTCCTCCCAAGTACCACACAGACCGACGAGGAGTGAGGTGGGAATCAATCACACTCAGAACAATAAAAATCTGATTACAGCAGCTCTCAGGAAGGAAGCATGCTGGGTATAGAAATCTGGATTAAGCATGTGTCTTTTATTCAGTAGCAAACAGTAAACCAGAATTGCTTTTACATAACATGAGCATCACATTAGAAACAATATATTCTCAGAATATTTAAATATCTTTCATTTTAATCAGCAACTTCCTAGAGTTAAAAAATCCCAAATAATAATTAATGCCATTCATAATTTAGTTTAGTCTTTAAAATGTGTAAAAACTGAAAAATAGGAAAAATTCTAAGGCATTATTTTCAAATTCCATATTTGATTTGATTAATTGCTTCATTTATTGCTTTTTCTTTCCCCCTCTCATCCCATCTCTCTCCCCCTCTGCTTGTCCTCACCTCACCTCTGGGCTTAATTACAAAGTAATAAACTGTCCTGTTTTCACTAGGTGTCAATAAACAGCCATTTAAGTCTTATCTAGTATACCAATCTCCTTCCTCTCTGCTCACCTTGTCTTCGCCTTTTACACCATCCTAACCAGGACATCAAACTTTCTGTCTGATCTAGTAAATGTACTGCAACTCTGCACTTTCTCTCCCCCAGGCTTCCCAGACACCCAGTAATGAACTCCCCAGTGGTCAGTATCTCTGTCTACAACAACCAGACATTTGTGGGTGGACACTTGGACCAGCCCATCCTGCTGGAGTTTAAGCTGCTGGAGACAGCCAATCGCAGCAAGCCGCTGTGTGTGCAGTGGAACCACAGCAGTCAGTGAGTACAGATTACAGTTGAATACACATGAATACACACACACACGCAGTCTGCATTAGGGCTCGGTATTGTCATTGCAGAAGCTCCACATTGTACTTACACTGTTGATACAACTTAAACTACAATAAACTATAATATTAGTTTGATGAGTATTGGTTTTTATCTTGTTTGCTTTTAAATATGAAATACACTGAACAAAATTATAAATGCAACACTTTTGTTTTTGCCCCCATTCATCATGAGCTGAACTCAAAGATCTAAGACTTTCTCTATGTACACAAAGTGCCTATTTCTCTAAAATATTGTTCACAAATCTGTCAAAATCTGTGTTAGTGAGCACTTTGCCGAGATAATCCATCCACCTCACAGGTGTAGCATATCAAGATGCTGATCAGACAGCATGGGTATTGCACAGGTGTGCCTTAGGCTGGCCACAATAAAAGGCCACTCGGAAATGTGCAGTTCCATCACACAGCACAATGCCACAGATGTCGCAAGTTTTGAGGGAGAGTGCAATTGGCATGCTGACTGCAGTAATGTCCACCAGAGCTGTTGCCCGTGAATTGAATGTTGAATGTCTCTACCATAAGCCGTCTCCAAAGGCGTTTCAGAGAATTTGGCATTACATCCAACCAGCCTCACAACTGCAGACCACGTGTGACCACACCAGCCCAGGACCTCTACATCCAGCATCTTCACCTCCAAGATTGTCTGAGACCAGCCACCCGGACCGCTGCTGCAACAATCGGTTTGCATAACCAAAGAATTTCTGTACAAACTGCCAGGAACCGTCTCAGGGAAGCTCATCTGCATGCTCGTCATCCTCATCGGGGTTTCGACCTGACTGCAGTTCGTCGCCCTAACCAACTTGAGTGGGCAAATGCTCACATTCGATGGCGTCTGGCACTTTGGAGAGGTGTTCTCTTCACGGATGAATCCCGGTTTTCAATGTACAGGGCAGATGGCAGACAGCGTGTATGGCGTTGTGTGGGTGAGCAGTTTGCTGATGTCAACGTTGTGGATCGAGTGGCCCATGGTGGCGGTGGGGTTATGGTATGGGCAGGCGTGTGTTATGGACAACGAACACAGGTTCATTTTATTGATCGCATTTTGAATGCACAGAGATACCGTGACGAGATCCTGAGGCCCATTGTTGTGCCATTCATCCACAACCATCACCTCATGTTGCAGCATGATAATGCTCGGCCCCATGTTGCAAGGATCTGTACACAATTCCTGGAAGCTGAAAACATCCCAGTTCATTCTTGCAAGGCCAGCATACTCACCGGACAGGTCACCCAGCATGTTTGGGATGCTCTGGAAATTTCTGGTCCTCCCAAAATCTAAACTCCACAGATAAAGGGACCATCCACAGGCCACAAACAACAACCTGATCAACTCTATGTGACAGCAATGTTCACTGCGTGGAAAAAGGTGGTTACCCCAAAAAATTACTTGGTTTCCGGCCCCCCGGACCCCTGCCAATACAGTCTGCAGGGCAGCCTAAGGCACACCTGTGCAATACCCATGCTGTCTGATCAGCATCTTGATATGCCACACCTGTGAGGTGGATGGATTATCTCGGCAAAGGAGAAGTGCTCACTAACAGATTTTGACAGATTTGTAAACAATATTTGACAGAAATAGGCCTTTTGTGTACATAGAGAAAGTTTATAATTTTGTTCAGTGTATATGCAGTATGTGCCTTTGTGAAGGGAATTTGACCTTTCATTATTAACCCTCTCTCTCTCTCTCTCTCTCTCTCTCTCTCTCTCTCTCTCTCTCTCTCTCTCTCTCTCTGCAGGTATGAGATAGGTGGTTGTTGGACAGTCAGGGACTGTATGGTGGTGTACAGGAACACCTCTCATGTCCGCTGTCAGTGCCAGAGACTGGGCACCTTCGGAGTGCTGATGGACAGTTCACACAGAGAGGTTAGTGGTCCATCAGTGAAGAAATACTCAGTTAAATGACCCTCATATTGATAAACATTTAATTTAATTCTTATGCTTCCCTTTTATAATAAGGCATTTCCTAGCACTGTTTATGCCAGTGCAGGTTTGCCTTTTTTTACTTGACCATCTTAGCTGGTAATTGCTGGATTTAGTCAGTGTGAAACTTTGAAATCCTGGAGAATTAAACCCTGACTGACATTCTGAAGGCTAAAGGAGGCCTTGTTACAGCTGTAGAAGATTTTCCCGGTTTAATACAAAACCCCTGCCCATCGAACCCTAGCATACTAAGTGATGCTGTGTAAGATCTTGTCGTTTGTCAGGCAGAAAGACTGGAAACTTGTGGAATCAGAAAGCTCATGCCTTATGATAAATGTAAAGTTGTACATTTCTCAGAACATTTATGCTTTATATTGAATTAAACACGTCAATAATAAGGTTACGCATCAGAGGAGGTGTATCCCATTTCCATTCGTTTGAGCTGCTGTTGATATTCCCTATTTGCCCAAATAAAATTCTGGTAGTGTCTGTTATGTTTACATGCAGCAAATGCTTTCTGTGCATGCAAAGGCAGGGATGAATGGATTTCTTGCTTTTGATACTGTTTTCCCCTGACAGATTAGAAAGCTCTGCTAGTTTGCGTGGTCTGTTGTTTGATTTGTCCAGATAGTCTAAATAGTTTTTTGTATTCTTTCTTGTTGTATTTCTTTTATTTTCTCTTTAAAATAAAGTGTAGTGTAAGTAGTTAAAACACAGAGGAACCCTTGCCAATCTCAGCCTCACTTTAATATTTAGCATTATAAATCAGCTAGTTTTCTGAGCAGCTGGATGGTACATTTTATAATTTGTAGGTATTTTTTTAAATCTTAACAATGTGGTGGCAGGTTCAGCTCATTTACTTACTTTTCAAATAAATTTAACGTCTCTGATAATTATTGAAAGTTTGCACTCAGTGAAGCTAGACAGTGAAGGGTAGATGGAGACCCAGGCTGAAGTAGCAGTATTTCAACATGTTAAAATGATTCATTGTCATCTTTTTGCCTTATTTCACCATGTGATGTTTCATCTTACTCCTTTTATTACCCATGTCTGCCATGCCTCGCCTTCCCATTTTCCACTTGTTTCTCACATTTTATTTCTCTACTACTACTCCCCTCCTTTCCTCTGCCCTTCCTTTTCATGTACCACCAAAATGTTACAAATCCAATAATACCCTTTTCCCGTCTCGCACCTCCTTATGAGCAGCAGTTGGAGGGTGATCTGGAGACGCTGGCCCTGGTCACATACTCCTCTCTGTGCGTCTCCATGCTGGCCCTCCTCCTCACTGTCCTGGTGCTCTCCTGCCTCCGAGGCCTGAAGTCCAATACGAGGAGCATCCATTCAAACACAGCAGCGGCCATGTTATTGTCGGAGCTGGTGTTTCTGCTCGGGGTCAATCAGACTGAGCAACAGGTAGATACTGGTGGGGGGTTGTGTGCTCCTGTTTCTGTTGCCCTGTTTGTCTGTGATGCTTGTTTGCCTTCCTATTTACACATTCCTATTCCTATCAGCTTTGTGAGCAAACATTTGCTTTAGTCTCAAAATTGTCTTTTGGTATTTGTATTTTTAGCCAGATTTTTCAGATTTGGAGGTATACTACTGACCACTAGTAGTGGAAGACTGCCGTGCCTTCCCCTATACTGTAGATGATCATATATATGCTCCTACTCTGGTGCAGCACTAAAGGTCATATCAAGACATTTTCCAAAGCAAATATTTTAAATTGCTCTTATACAGTTTTGTTGAAGACAACTGTTCTCTAACTTTCTTGCTCACTGCGTGCATCTCTACCAGTGTTTTTTTGCTGTTTCTTTTACTGTAAGCCTTATCCTGTTACACTCAATACTTCCTACATTTTTCCCACTCCTCTGCTCTTTCTCTCTCGATGTTGTTACATCACAAATGTGTATGTGTGTGTTTAAAGAGCAGTGAATCTTGTAGAGAGGGTACTGAAAATATGTGCTCACTCAGCATGAAATCCAATTAATTAAGCTGTGTGCCCCACACAGTCGACTGTACAGCTCTTACAGTGCAACTGGTTACTTCTAGCTGAACAATATGTTCTCTTAATTCATGTACATCATGCTTGGGAGAGCATGTTAGTGCCCGCAGCGGTTGTGCGTGTTTGTGTGCACACTTGTTTTTACATGCTTGCACATATTTTAGTCTTTCTGTTAATCTTTTTGTGCGTAACTTGTAGTAGTTTGTATTCTTGTGTGTGTTGATGTGTGTGTGGGAGTGTGAAATTCATCGTCTGGCTGTATTCTTGCCCAGGCTGCTGCTATTTTTATGTTGTCTCTGGCCGTGTCGTTAGGAATTTGTACTGAGCTTCTTTTGACCTTCAGATCTGGGACTTGAAACTTGCTGGAACTTGCTTGCTTTGATTTAAAGATGCAAATCACTCAGTATTAACCTGAAGACACACCAACTGTTTAGACTGTTTAGGAAAGGTTATATAATGCAGGATGCAGGAGTCACACATTTAAGGCAACCAAAACTTACTGTATAAAAACTCACTAGAAGCGTGTTCGATAGAAGAAATATTTAGTCAACTCTAAATCTTAAAAGATTTTGGCAAAGAATGGGAGTCAAAGCAAATCTGATTTCAGTCCTTGCAACTTAAGCCAAAACAGGCTGGACTGCACAAGCTTTTTAAGCTGTGATTTGCCTTGTCTGGTGTTTATATTGGTTAAGAACACATATAGCTACAAATCACACCAGACTACCGTTTGTTCTTACTTCATTTAGTTTCACTTGGTATTCAAATAATGTCTTTGAAAGGTGGTTGTCAGGTGCCAGAAAACATCTATTTTCACTCACAAACCTGTGCTTTTCAAGTCGTTTCCTGTGGCTGGTTTAGATTTTGCTTTTATTTTGACAAAGAGCACCACAGCTCTCTTAGAAGAAGATGACTTGCACTTTCAGATGTGTAGGTGCTGTAATTCAGTGCTGCTTGAGTTTGAATGGCATCATTCCCATCTGGCCAAACAAACAAACCAGACTAAAGGCTCCGGAGTTCAAATAAACCACTCCAGACACGCTTGAATGCAGCCTGAGGGTAATTTCTCAGAAAGCTTAAATGCTAATATTCTGCATTATTCATGGGGACTTCCAGCATTACCTCCAAACCAAACAGCAGCACTTAACTGACAAAAGTAATTTGGAAGTTTATCTCCTGCCCTGACAGAAAGTATGAAGATTCATTCCTGATAATATACAATCTGAACCATGGTATAGGACAGACCTCAGATGTCTGTTATAGCAAATTACACAATCTCTTAGAACTCATTTCACATCCTCTCAGCATCCGTACAGCATCACATCTATGGCAAAAAAGACAGCTCTTCATGTGTAGCAATACTGTTTCATAGATAAGAAAGTAAAGATAAATAAACCAACCATGGAATAAGTTGTGTGGTTCAAAATGTGTATTACTATACAGAAATGTTATTGGTAGCACTTCATTACCTTAAAAGCTAAAGAAAGTGTGAAATATAAGATTTTAAATGAATTATTCAAACAACTGGAGTGTAAATATGCTTCAACTGAGCTGATAATACCCCTTAAAACCAGTACACATTAGCGTTATCTCCTTTTTCTTGTTTCCTTTACTAATGTAAATATGTTATGTTACATGAACGCTTTCAGACTTTTTACAAACATAACTGCCATGAAACCCACTTTACCTGCGGGGGCATTCTTTACTATGTGTACTTTCCTCTACTGATGATGCTTACTGTTGTACCCATAATCGTGGTTAAGAACGCACTCCTGGGTGTTATTACTATAATTCAGCACGTTAACGACATTCATTTACATTCATATCAGTTATTTTGTGCGTTTCCTGAAGATATAATGTAACACACTGCCATAAACTCTGTTCATTAGTCACGTTGGTAATTAAATCATGAATGCCTGTTACTTCATCGCTGACACCTGCTGTGCTGTAATAAAGACTTGTTGGTTGCTTGCCAAGATGTTGCTCTGCAACTGTCACAAAACAAAATTAATACAAAGGATTATATTTTTTTATCTCTTACCTTCTTTTCTTCACATTTTTTCTTATCTCTCCCTCCCTTCTTTTCTTCCTTGTTTCACACCTTCTCTCCTCCTTCACCTCTTCCTTCTTTCTGCCTTTCCTTCTGTGTTCTCCATCTTCGTCTTGCTTCCTTTTCTTTTTTCTCTTTCCTTCCTTTAATCATTCTCTTTCTCCCTCTAGTTCCTGTGTACGGTCGTCGCCATACTCCTGCATTACTTCTTCATGTCCACGTTTGCCTGGATGTTCGTGGAGGGCCTTCATATCTACCGCATGCAGACCGAGCAACGCAACATCAACTATGGTGCCATGAGGTTCTACTACGCCATCGGCTGGGGCGTGCCCGCCATTATCACAGGTAACACACACATTCACACACATGCATACATGTCATGTCTCTGTGAAGTTTGTCAGAAACATGTCTGCGCTTCCATGTATACACAAAGTCATCCATGCCACATTTATACACAGTCACTGACGTGCACGAACACACATGCACAATGTGTAGATATGGTGTCCTATTACACACTTGTATTAAACAGGTTTCAGTGACATTTTAATATAGAGATAGTAAAGCACTGACACACACACACACACACACACACACACACACACACACACACACACACACACACACACACACACACACACACATATTTACAGTTTCCATCCGGACTCACACAAGCTGTCAGCTCCCCTCGATCTGTTGCTGTTTTTGTCACTGGCACACACACACACCGACCGCTGTCTCACCTTGCCTCAAGTATGGATCTGTCTGCCCCACACACACTGGCTGCATGTCTCTTTTCCTCAGGCCCAGAGGTGTGTTTATCTGTCTGTCCATCTTGATTTAGGCTTTTCCTGTCTCTCTTACTTTTGCAATTCAATTCTTTATACCCACAACTGTCAAAACCTTGACAGTGCTGTCGAACAAGTATACAGAAGGACACCTTCGTGCAGGTCTGGTCATGGAGAAGTGGCTGTGCACTAATAATAGATGAGTAAGATACAATCTGCCATGATGAAAAAGAATCAGTTTCATCAGTGATATTCTCAGTAAAGATTATTTGCACGTAAATACAAAAGTAATGACATGGTTTTCTTCACTGTTTCGTCTGTAAACACTGAGTTTAATTAACAACTTTATAAATTATTGTTGTTTAAACAGCCAGCAGGATAATTTAAAACATCTTTAATATAATAAATTACTTCTAATCTTTACCAACCCAAATATTTACCTGACAGAATCTTGTTCCGTTAATTAGTCACAGTCTCTAATATTAATGCCAGCAAGCTAACATTGAATTTATCAGAAGCATCAGTGATAAGGTCCAGTAGAGGTATGGAGTATAGAGTATGAGGAGAGAATCTGAAATCTCTGAAGACACAGTAATGTAATGAAGCTTTTACTGCCCCTGTTTCTCAGGAGCTGATCCCATCCAACACGATGTTTTGTCATCTAAAATATTTATTTTACTATTGACCAACGATTACAAAAAATATATACCTAGAATTAATTGGGACATGTTCTGTTGTGTCTCTGACCTTTCCTGCCACTGTCCTTCAGGTAATTACATGCTGTCACATACTGTTTCTGTCCCCTCTCTCTGACCGTAGAAGATATCTTAAAGTAGATCTGTCTTCTTGTCTTCTGATCTGACTGTCTGTCTCTTCGCTGCAGGCCTGGCGGTGGGCTTGGACCCCGAGGGTTACGGGAACCCAGACTTTTGTTGGATCTCCATCTATGACAAACTCATCTGGAGCTTTGCTGGTCCTATAGCCATCGTCATACTGGTAACTGTCTCCCCATCTGTCTGATATACAGTAGTTAATGCTGCATGCACAGAAACCTGAATAGATATATAGTGTAAACAGTGATGTGATAGAGAATGGTAGGGTAGAAACTGTTCTTGAAATAAAATGTGTAAATGTGTGTGTTTATGCTCCTTCTTCCCTGCCTGTGAATCCCTGGCTGGGCACTCTTCCAAAATTTGGAGAGTCATATCATCAGTCATCAGTGTCAGCTCTCCAAAATTAATTTGACAAAAAAGACCCACTTGAACTCTGCTAGACCATAATTTTAATTACTCCCCACATCAAGTTAACATCTTTGACTTTACAACTTCACTGCGGCATTGTAGACATGAACCTGTGCCAGCTTTTATAATGTTTATGTATAATTATAGTGCATTGTAATCAGTAATCAGTTTTATTCATTTTTACACTTTCTATTCCTTTCTTCTTTCCTTCCTCCTATTGTGCTTGCGATTTTCATATACTGTTTGAACAAAGGAACAAAACAGAATTAAGGAGCAACTGATAGACTTCAATAATTAGACCTTTTCTCTTGTACATAAGTATTTTATCCACATTGATTTTGTTTCATCTGTTTACCTTCATCCCTGATGTTGCTAAAGGCAGTATTGGATTGGCTGAAATGCATTAAAAAAGTTCACTTACCATTCGTATTGATCCCTCTTTATCCAGATGAATGGAGGGATATTCATGATGGTAGCCAAGATGTCCTGCAATCCCTCCCAGAAAGAGACCAAGAAGCTCCCAGTCATGTGAGTAAATTACTTTTATTACTTTCAAAAAGTGACTTTGTTGGCTATTTTTCATTATGTTATGTAATCCCACAGTCTCTCATTACTGCAATACTCATGTTTGGAGGAAAAATACTGTATAAAGACGGTCTGGACTGTCTTAAAAGAAGCATTTGCTAATTTGAGTCTGTTGTATAATACTTAAAGTATTTATCTGCTGTACACACGTACAAGTCAAACATCACGCTTAATTGATAACATTGCTATGAGGCATATGGAAATTTTGAGGAAAAGTTTAGAAGTTTCTATCAGCTTAAGATGAGATTTACTGATTGCAACTGAAGTGTCATAGCATCAAAATGAAGTTCATAAACAAATGCGCAGAATAGATAATTAACCTATAAAAACCCACAATACTATCGATGTTATAAGCATCTACTTTATACAATGTTTATATTATTTTGCCAAAATGTAGAGCTACACCTGCATATGTGTAATGTGTAATGACAATAAAGCAGAACCACTCTGAAGCAAAATTAGACAACAAAAATGATATTTGAAGTACTATACAACGTACATTTATATTTTTGTTTGTTAATATTTATCAGATTATAGTGATAACCTCACAAAACCACATGAGTGTACTTTTGAAAAATGGTTTGTGAATAGTGAATTGACAGGGAACAGAGGGGAATATATGTGTATTTCTATCTGTCTCATTCAATCAATGTTGATTTGATAGACAATGATCATGCAGGGCTTTGTTATTGATCTAATCATATGTGCATAAACGACACAAGGAAGTCACTTAAGCCATGGTGTGTTCTCTATGACCTTTTTTTTCCCTGCTGGCTCTCTAATCCCTGTTGTTAACATGTACTGTTCCTAGTCAAATCTTGACCATTATCTTAAGACATCTAAGTTGTACATGTAGAGATGCAGCATGTTAATGTTTT